AGCAAAGCAGTGGATGCAGAAAAGAGAAGGATATCATCCACATACACCAAGAGCATGAGGATTTCATCCTTCTCCTGCAGCAGGAACAGGCTGGGGTCACACTCACTCTTCTTGAAACCCCCAGCCAACAGCGCCTCCTCCAACTTGTGATACCATGCACGAGGCGCCTGCTTAAGGCCATAGATGGCCTTCTTCAGCCTGCAGACCCTGCCGCTCCCGTCATCCAGCCCCTCTGGCTGTTTCATGTACACCTCCTCCAGAATGATCCCATTCAGAAAGGCAGTCACAATGTCCATCTGCCGTATCTTCCATCCCAGGAGTGCAGCTATCGCCAACAGCACCCTCAGTGTTGTTCCTTTCCCCACAGGAGCAAACACCTCATCATAGTCCTTCCCCTTTGTCTGCTGAAACCCCCGTGCCACAAGCCTAGACTTGTAGCGGGTCAGCTCCCCTTCAGGTCCATACTTGTGCCTGTAGATCATCTTGGAAGTGATTGCCTTCTTTCCAGGAGGCAAGTCACACAGGTCCCATGTCTCGTTCTCAATTAGGGACCCGAACTCCTCATCCTCACTCGCCTTCCACTTCTCCCCATTTGGTCCATTCAAGGCCTCCTCTCGAGTCTTGGGCTCAGGGATTGGTGCCCAGTAGCAGTGAGCGATCTCATCTTCCTCAATCTGCTCAACCACACTCCCAGCCTGCACCACATTTGGCTTGCCTCTTCCCCCATAGGTCAGCCTCACAGGAGGGCGCACATCCCTCCTAGGTCGCTCAGGCGGGTGTGGAACTCGAGGTGGAGACTCATGTTGCTGTTGCTGCTCCACTTCAGCTGCTCCCCCTTCTTCAGTCACCCCAGATATCTCCTCCTCAGACACTGCAACCTCCACCTGCCTTGAAGGCTGCTGCAACTCATCTGCCTCCACAATGAGTGGTGTAGATGGAAGCTTCTGTTGCTGCTGCTTCCATTCCTTATAGTACAGGGACTCAAGAAACTTCACATCCCTTGACACTGTCAGCTTCTGGATGGTCAAGTCCCATAGAAGCCATCCCTTGTGATCCTTTGCAATCCCCAAGTGCACACCCCATCTTCCAGAAGCCTCCAACTTCCCTCTTTTCTCCTTAGGCACATGAAACACTACCATGCACCCAAATGCCCTCAGCATATTCACAGCTGGAGCACTCCCATACCACTTGGTATATGGGATCCACTCCTTATCCCCAACTGTAGCCAGCACTCTATTCTTCACAAGGGCGACCTGCCTCAGTGCAGACACCCAAAACGGATCAGGTAGCCCTGCACGCCCAAGGAGAGTGCGTGCCCCCTCCTGCAGGGTCCTGTTGAACCTCTCAGCCACGCCATTCTGCTGCGGGTTGTAGGGCACTGTCAGTTGATGCTGGATCCCCTTCCTCTTCAACTCCCCCTCAAAATCAGCTCCAATGAACTCCCCACCATTGTCACTGCGGATCACCTTCACCTTGTGTCCACATTCCCTCTGAGCTCTCGGCATCCACTCCTTAAGGACAGCCGCTGCCACCTCCCCCTTGCTCTTCAAAGGGTAAACCCACACTGCCCGAGTGTGGTCATCCACAATTGTCAAGAAATAGCGGCTGCCTGAGAGGGAAGGGGCTCTTGTGGGCCCCACCACATCCATGTGCACAAGTGCAAGTGGGGTCTTGGCTGGTCCTGTAGTGCTGTTGAAGGGGAACTTGGAGAACTTGGTCTCCAAGCATGTAGGGCAGCTCCCAATCTCCTTCAATCCCCCCTTTACCTCCAATCCTTTCAGGCTCCCATCCTTCACCAACTTCTGCAGCATAGGGAAGTTCACATGACGCAGCCTCTCATGCCATGTCTCCCAATCGGCCTCTCCACTCCTTGATGAAGCCTTAGCCCATGCCGCACTCGCATCCACACCAGCAAGCACCTCACCATGTGTCTGCTGCTGCTGCACTTTCTTGACTGCTTCCAGGACCCCATCAGTTGGTGCAGTTGCATCTCCTCCTGCTGTTGCCTTTGCCGCTGCTGTCGTTGCTGCTGTTGGAGTCTTCCCATTCCATGGGATGATGGGCAGCTGCCACAGGTCCTTGATGCAGCTGGTCTCCTCTTCCAGACTCCACAGCACCTTCTTCCCAAGCTTAGCACGGCAGCTGGTTGGTCCAAAGGTCACTTCGGCCTTGCTCTTCTGCAGTCGTCGCACAGAGAGAAGGTTAGCAGACAAGCCTTCAACCAGCAGAACATTCCCAAGCCCCACAAGCTCCCCATTAGCTCCCTTAACCTTGGCATTCCCAACACCAATCACGGGGAGCAAAGCACCTGACGCTGCTGCCACATACTTAATCTTCCCAGGGGGTTTTACCTCATCAAGCAAATCTGCCCGTGGAGTCATGTGACTGGTGCAACCCGAATCAATCACCCAGTGCGTGAGAGGGTGCATCACAACCTTTCCGACAGATCCCACATCACCCTCATGCCCATGCACATCCTCAACCATGAGATACATCCCAGGATAGGCGTTACCTTGTGCACCTTCACCTTGTGCACCTGAGCCTTGCACAGCGCCACCTTGTGCGCGTTCACCACTTGGCGGCTTCATGCCTGGAGGTGACCATCCCTCCGGCCTGCTGAAGCACTTGAACCAAGGATGCCCGACCTTCTTGCAGTACCAGCAGGTGCCCTCCATTCTGGTACTCCCCCTGCCACTGGAGCTCCCATGCCCCTCATTATAGTCACCTCGGCCTCTACCTCTGCCAAAGCTTCTCCCACGGCCTCGGCCTCTCCAACCCCCTCTTCCTCTGCTGCGCCCTGCAGCTCCATACCCCTCAGCAGTCTTAGTGGCAGCACCGCCTCCCACATGGCGTCTGCGGAAGTCCTCCTGCAGAATCTGCTGCCTTAGCCACTCAGGTGTCCATTGATCTTGCTGAGAGTTGAGGGTGGGGATGAGGTTGTCCCAAGAGTTGTCCAACACCGAGATGATCTTGGTGCACTGCTGCAGCTGAGATACACTGCTGCCCGCTGCTGCCATCCTTGCATAGGTGTCCTTGATCTTGTCAAGGACCGGCTTCACATCGTCCCCTGGTCGCATGGAGATGGCAGCAAGTTCCTTCTCGAGCACGATCACCATCAGGAGAGTGTTGGGCTGAATCACATCGCGTAGTAGTTTCCACGCCCTTGGACCCGAATCATCCGCTTCCACAAGATCCTTGATGTGCTCGAACATCTCCTTGTTGACCGATTGAAGGATGAGGTCGAAAAGCACCGTGCTTTTCTCAATCCACCGTTCACGTGCTTCGCCTTCTTCCGGCATCTTCTCTTCCCCAACAGCAATCTTCAGTAGCTTGTAGCGTTTGAAGGCACTCCTCATCCGTCCGCTCCATTCCTCATAGTTGGAGCCATCCAAAGCTTCAACTTTTGATGGCGGCGGCTCACTTGTCTTCTCAGCTACAGCTCCTCTTCCATTAGCATCTCCTCCTCTCTCATTCATCTTCTCCTTGAGAAATGACGAATTTCAGCCCCCCTTTGCTGTCCACACTCAGCTCCCTCGATATTTTCACAAGTGTCGGCGTCCACGAAATTTCGGCAGAGTTTCCCTTAGCGGAAGACACATCCAACCTTTAGAACACCACTTAGGCACACCCACAGGCCATGGTGGGTCTAGAAGGGTCTTCACACTTCTGTAGACTCCTCTCAACGTCCTTAATACAGCTCTGATACCACTTGTTAGGATTAAGGACGGAGTCTAGGTGAACTTAGGAGCTAGAATTACTCAAAATATAAATCCGAAATTCTGGACAGAAAAGTCGTCTTTACAAGAAACGACGTCGACGAAAAACTAGCCGTTGGAATGTCGCGAAACTTGGATATGTTGTAGCTCTTAATCTCAGCTACCGTTCCCAATTTGAATCACGTTGATTGATGAAGTATTCGCGACGCTATGGCTTTCGACGCATTAGGGGGTAAGCTGTAGGAGGAGAACTTAACTCAATCTCAAAGGTTCAATCAAAGTTCAAGAATCTCACAAGGAATTAGAGGAGCAAGAGAAAGGTTGGGATAGAAGAGAGGGATGAGAGGGAAGGTCCCAAGAGAGTCCCCAACCAAGGAAACCCCATAAGCACAAAGATTCCCTCCCTATAGGAACCCCAACTTTGACATTTGTCCCTTCCCAACCAATCCATCCAAGTTGGCCACCCTTGCCAACCTAGCTTGGTTGTTCCCAACCAATTTGCAGCTGTTACAGTAGAGTGACGAATTTCCCCAACCCCAAAGGTCCCAACTCCATATAAAGTCACCCCACAACTTCACTTTGTAACCGCCGCAATTGTAACGCAAGCTCATGAACTTTGAATCTTCATAGCTTTCGCGTTCTTGCTCCGATTGACGCGATTCTTGTTGCGTCGGAAAGATCTTCTCAAGATCTATCATCACAAATACCTGCTCAGACAGAATAACACAAAACACATTCCCAAACTCCAGAACACACCACACACAAATTCTTTCACACACAGTCAAACCATACGTGCGAATTGAAAAAACATGGGATGGGAGGCAGACAGAATGTGATAGCATATGATGACATCACACAACACCTTTCCAACCTCTCTTAACGGTATGTGTGCTTTTCCAACCTCTCTTAACGGTATGTGTGCTTTTCCAACCTCTCTTAACGGTGCGTGTGCTTTTCCAACCTCTCTTAACGGTATGTGTGCTTTTCCAACCTCTTGTCGCTCTAGGCTCTGACATACATGGAATGGAAGGAAACAGTACGTGGCATGCAGAGATTAGTTTTCATCATTTGCATAAGAACGACACCTGCCATGTGTGGTGTGGATGAGGCTGCTCTCACTTGTACTTGCACAATTTTCCTTCTGCCAATTTGACCGGCTTTGTTTATCTGTTCCCTCTGTGAGCAACGCAACAACAGCTCATGCCTGATCTGCTCTGCCACCAACTGTGTTTTTTCTCCCTGCTATTGATCAACCATGCGTCTCCCTACGCTATCAAATGGCAGGAGCTGGAAGCCGTGGGACAGAGGAAGGAGCACGATGCTCTGACTGAGTCTGAGATTAAGGTGGGCATGCCATGGCACGGCATGGCATGGGGTATGATAAAAACAAGAGTATCGAATGGCTAACAGTGGCATGTGGGAAGTGGCACGGGGGCAGTGTGGCATGGGGGGAAGTGGCATGGGCATGGGGGACGTGGCATGGGGGCAGCGTGGGTGTAGTGGGCGTTGGATGGCATTAGGTGACATGCATGCATCCATGCATGTGGGCTTAAGTGCGTACATGGTGCATGCATGAGAACATCGTTTTTGAGGACACAGGGTGCGTGTGGCCACCACACAGTGGTGAGGGATATAAAGACGTGAGGCAGGCAAGTGGCAAGCTCAAGCTCTATGTTGCTATTTTTTTCCCCTCTCCCTTCTCCTCCCCTCTGCCTTTTCCCAGATATTCAACACGCCTGAGGGCATGCTGTCAGCAGAGGACGGGGTGTATGTGGCAGCGGTGGTGAGGGATAAGAACGTGAGGCAGTCCAGAGGCAAGCTCAAGCTGTATGGGGCTGAGTTGGATGATGACGACGATGAGGAGCCGCCAAGCAAGCCCGCCCCTGCCGCTGCTGCGCCTGCGAAGAAAGCCATTGGTGTGAGTGCTGTGTGGTAGCGGTAATAATTATCATTGGCAAGGAATTGGGAAGTCTGCTCATTGCATAGCGAGTCTCACGGACTGCATGCCGCTCCACCGAGTGCCTCCTTCCCTTGACGTATGCCCCGTTTACCAGCGTGAACTGAGACTGATTTTGAGGCGCCTCGAAAGGTGTCCCATGACATAACATTACCACTCCGTCCATCATATCAAGGTCCCATGATGCCACTGCGCCGTTACCATCGCCACATGATAGCATCACCACATGATGATGCCATCACCACATGAGGCTAACCCCCACATCACCATGTTCGCCTCGCCGCCATCCCCCACATTCAGGCAACACCAGCAGCACGCACTGCAGCAGGGGCCAAGGCCGGGGCAGGGAGGGGAGCAGGCAAGAAAGACGCGGCCAAGCCAGGCGCAAAGAAGCCAGCAGCAGCGGAGGGGGGCAAGACGGCAAAGGAGGAGGCGAGGGAGGCGCTGCTGCTGGAGGAGGAGGGGGTGAGGGAGAGAGTGAGGGGGATTCAGAGGCACACCGGGGTGCTGGTTAGGGCGCTGGGCGCTGCTGCTGCTGCCAACCCGGCGTTCTCTCACGACCAGCTACCTCAGCTTGTAAGCCTTTCTCAGTGACCTCTTTTGTCAAAACTGCAGCTTCTTCTCGGAAGACGCGTCAAAGCTGCAGCTCAAGAGCCCCCTGTCACCATTTATCCTCTCTCCATGCTGGAGGGGATCCTCTCTCCATGCTGGAGGGGATCCTCTCTCCAGGGGGATCCTCTCTCCAGGGGGATCCTCTCTCCAGGGGGATCCTCTCTCCAGGGGGATCCTCTCTCCAGGGGGATCCTCTCTCCAGGGGGATCCTCTCTCCAGGGGGATCCTCTCTACAGTTTGTTTCTGAGTATCCTTAGGCCTTCATGCCTCTCTTCTCTCATATGTTTCCACCCCGTTTTCTCTCTCTCGCCCTCTTTCTTCCACGCACTCCCTCTCCGCAGCTCTCTGCAGGTGGCGTCCATCCTCCCCTTGCGCGCTCACCCCTCATCCCCTCGCAAGCCTTTGACGCCCTGGCGCTGGTCATGCGCTGCCTCAAGTGCCCCATTATATTTTGAGTCGACTCAAAATACAACTCCTCAAGTGCCCCATTATCTTTTGAGTCGACTCAAAATACAACTCCTCAAGTGCCCCATTATATTTTGAGTCGACTCAAAATACAACTCCTCAAGTGCCCCATTATCTCCCCTTCACTCCTTTCTCCTTCCCCCCCCACCCCCCCTCCAGGTATCCTCTATCCTCCCCTTCCTGTGTTCGCCCCTCATCCCCTCGCAAGCCTTTGACGCCCTGGCGCTGGTCACGCGCTGCCTGTCGCCCGCGCTGCAGCCCTTCTGCTGGGCGGTGATCTTCTGTCTCTCTCTCCCAACTCTCCCCCTCTCTCCCCTCTCTTTGTCCCCCCTCCCCCCCTTCAGGTGGCCTCCATCCTCCCATTTCTCCGTTCGCCCCTCATCCCCTCGCAAGCCTTTGACGCCCTGGCGCTGGTCATGCGCTGCCTGTCGCCCGCGCTGCAGCCCTTCTCCTGGGAGGTCGCCTCCGCCCTCTGCTCCGTCTCCCTCGCAGGGGAGAGACTGGCAGAGCAGCTCAAGGAGGAGAGTGTGGAGGGGGGAGAGGAGGAGGGAGGGGAGGGGAAGAGGAGGAGGAGGAAGGAGGAGAGTGTGGTGGATAGGGTGGTGCGGGCAGTGTGGAGTGCGTGCAAGGAGGGCGGGTCCCTGCCTGCTGCGACCTTTGGTGCAGTTTTTCCCGTGAGTGAAAATTTGAGGCGTCTTGAAAATAGTGTGGTGAGCAATGGGGAGTGCGTGCAAGGAGGGAGGATCCCTGCCTGCTGCGACCTTTGGTGCTGTTTTCCCCGTGAGTGGAATGCTTGGGCGCCTTAAAGTAGGGCGGTGAAGGCAGTGTGGGGTGCTTCCAGGGAGGGAGGGTCCCTGGCTGCTGCGATGCGACCTGTGTTGCTGTTTTCACCGTGAGTGGGTTTCTGTCTGTTTGTAGGTTGCTGTTTGTTTGTGGCTGTCTGACTTCTGTGGTGGGTTGCTGTCTGTTTGTTTGCCTGCGACATCCTGTCCCAAAAATCTATCCTGTCCCGTCTATCCTGGAGCTGCATACCATACCTCGCTCTTCATCTGGCCCTTTATCTCGTGCTATCACTCACTTCCTCAACATCCCCCCTCTCTTTCCCCCTTTCCCCCCCCTCTCGTCAGATCTCTGAATGAGTGCAGTGAGCCTGAGGGAGCACCATTTGGTCACCATGACTTAGTAGTGTGGCAGCGACTGTTCAAAATGCTTCTTGTAAAATCGAGGCTAGAGATGCTTTCAAAAGGTGGCCACCACCCCCCCCCATCCCCTGCTCCTCTCATCAGATCTTTGAGTGGGTGTTGAGGGCGAACAAGAAGACCCACCTGCACGACTCTGTTCTCTCCATCCTCTAGCTGCACACGTCGCCCTTCATCTCCTGCTCTCAGGCGCCTTGTAACACCGTCCCCTTCTGCCTTCCCCATGCAGATCTTTGAGAGGGTCCTCCGAGCCAATAAGAAGACCCGCCTGCACGACTCCATCCTCTCCATCCTCGAGCTGCACACGTCACCCTTCATCTCTCTGCCTCGACTCGCCATGATCTCCGTGCTCTACCACGTGCTGGGGCGCGTGCGCATCTACCATGCGAGGGTCCAGCCTATATTGCGCGAGCTGTGCCGAGGACTCAAGGCAGACGAAATTGGAGGGGTGAGTGCACGGCACGGCATAGCTGGGAGTTTGCGTCCTGCAGTGCGGTTATAGTGGGTCGGATCTGATGTCGCCATGATCTTGGTGCTCTACCATGTGCTGGGGCGCGAGCGCATCTACCATGCTAGGGTGCAGCCCATACTAAGGGAGCTGTGCCGCGGGCTTAAAGCCCATGAGATTGGAGGGGTGATTTGGGTTGGGGTGAAGTGGGGTGGGGTGTGGTTCTTTTTATGGGCAACAAGAAGCACAGGATGGATGGAGCGCACGTGGTGCACCCGCCATCCTGTGCTGTGCTCTGTGCTCTACCACGTGTTGTTGGGCCGGGTGCGCAACTACCGCCTGAGGGTGCAGCCCGCTCTGCTGTAGGCAACGACTGAGGCCGAGGGTGCAGCCCAGTCTCAAGGAGCTCTGCAGCTCTGCAGCTCTGCTGAGGCCTGAGATCACATGAGGCTGGAGGGGTGACTGAGCTGCTCACAGCTAAGGGGGAAGCGGGGGGTGGGGGGACGAAAAAGGGAGATGGTGGAGGTTCAGTTTGCTTGCGTTAGTCGAGTCTGTCTGGTGCGTGCTGTGCTGCCTCCGTCAACTGTTCGTCGAGTTCACTTTTCTTCTCACACATCCGGCCCCCTTCGGGCACTTGAGGGTCTAATCACAGAGCAAGAACACGGGAGGGAGCAGTGTTCGGAAGGAGTCAACTACACTCCGCCCCGCCCCGCCCCGCAATGAGAATCCACTCTTGCTTTCATCTGCCACGTATCTGCCCCTGCAGACACTGAACTGGAGGGTCTACTCGCGGAGCAAGCACAGCACATGTGAGGGAGGCAGACATCCGGATCCCCTGCTGATCTCATTCCCTCTTTTGTCTCTTGCACCGCACCTGTCTCTCCGGCACGCCTTTCCTGCAGGCACTGGAGGGTCTATTCGCGGAGCAGGCACATGTGAGGGAGGCGTGTTTGGAAGCAGTCAAGTACATCCCAACCCTAGCAGCTGGCAAGGCCCCCCAGGACCCCTACGTAGCCTGCGCTCTTTGGATGGCCCAGTACGATCCCGAGCCTACCAACGCCGAGGCTGCCGAGATGGTCTGGGACATGTACGGGCACCAGCTAGGCTCGGAGTACGCGCCGAACCTTATCATCAGCCTCGGGAACCAGAGCCAGGAGGTTCGGCTGGCGGCTGCCGAGGCTATGGCGGCAGCTATGGATGAGTACCGAGGCACGATCCAGAGCAGTTTGTCGAGCCTGTTCTCGCTGTACGTGCGCGATGCGCCACCTCAGACTGCCATGTGGCGGCCTCAGGATGATGCCACGTGGCACAGCAGGGAGGGTGTGGCGCTGGCGATGCGGGCTGCTGCTGACGTGTTGACCACTAAGGAGCTGCCACTTGTCGCCACGTTCCTCATCTCCAAGGCTCTGGTAATTCTTCCCATGCTCTTGTTTTGAGGTTTCCCTTTTCAAAACCTTCCATCTCCAACTCTTTGGGGGTGAAAAATAAATTGCTTCAGGGACTAAGTTAAGATCTCTGTCTGGTCTCACCCAGTCCGTATCCCTCCGTTCCTCGATGCTCCTTCTTTGCGTGTCTGGTTTGGGCAGGGCGACCCTAACGAGGAGGTTCGGCGGCGCATGGTGGAGGCAGGTTCGGCGATAATCAACCGGCATGGCAAGGAGAACGTGGGGCTGCTGCTGCCTATCTTCGAGAACTACCTCGACAGGAAGGTAGGAGGATAGGATGCCTACAACGTGTAGCATCAGGGAAATGCGAGTTTGGGTGGGTGAGAGCATACAACAAGTCAGTCAGTCAGTCAGTCAGTCAGTCAGTCAGTCAGTCAGTCAGTCAGTCAGTCAGTCCAGTCAGTCAGTCAGTCAGTCAGGTGACTAATCTGGATTCTGGATGGTAGACTTGATGATGGCCATTGTGTTTCCGCTCCGCTCCATCCCTCCACTTGCTCCAGCTGTCATGTCCGCCGTGCCTTGTGTATTATCGGATAAGAAAGATAAGGAATGAACATAAGTTTGATTGCAAGCACCACTCTCCCTTCCCCTCCTCCCCCCCCCTCCCCTTCCCCGCATCATCATCCACAGGCGGACAACGAGCAGAGCTATGATCTCGTGCGTGGGGGTGTGGACCGTGTGGTGGTCTTCTCCTTACCAACCTACTACCTCTCTTCCCCCCCCTTCCCCCCCCCCCCACACACCCCACCCGCCCATCTTTACGTGCAGGCGGACAACGAGCAGAGCTATGATCTCGTGCATGAGGGGATGGTCTTCTCCTTACCAACCTACTTTCTCCCTTCCCCCCCACCCCCCCATCCCCCCCCCATCCTTGTGCACAGGCGGACAATGAGCACAGCTACGACCTTGTGCGTGAAGGCGTGGTGGTCTTCCTCGGTGCTCTTGCCAAGCATCTCGCCCCGGTATGGTTGAAAGCTGCCTTAGCATCTTGCCTCGGTATGGTAGAAGGCTTTTTCTGGAAACCTCGTGCTTTTGAGGCGCTTCAAAAGCACCTCGTGCTTTGTTCTTGTTTGTTCTGCGAAGACTTGTTATTGGTCTGAGAGGCTCCTGTGTATTCGGTGCTCTTGGCAAGCGACGAAGTTGCCGCACATTGGCTTGTTCTAGTGCCTCAAGGCGTAGCATCTTGATTCTTGGCCCAGTGTTCACGTGTGGCACTCTGATGCTCTTCGACTCGATGACCTGCCTGCCATTCGAAAGGCTGGAATGTAAAAGCAAAATCGGCACACAGTGTCAATCCCTGAGAATTCTCACTGGGGGAACAACCTGGGGACCACTGCTTGCTTGCAGTTCTGCATCTGACTTGGTGTTATAGAAATGTAGTTTAGAGACGTCTCAACTCAAAACTACATCTATCACCACCAGGGGATGCAGTTGGGAACCACCACTTGCAATTCCGCATTTGACTTCTCGCCTCATCCGCTCAATCCCTGACCATCTTCTTCCCCATTGCAGGACGATCCCAAGGTGTCTCTGATTCTCTCCCGCCAGCTTGAGGTGCTCACGCCCTCAGAGGCCGTGCAGAGAGCTGTCTCCAACTGCCTCTCGTGCTCGCCCCTCTCATGCCTGTAGTCTCCCTTGCCACCACTTTCCCTGGCCATGATTGCCCCTGGCAAACATGCAGGACGACCCCAAGGTGTCGCTCATCCTCTCCCGCCTGCTGGAGGTGCTCAACACGCCCTCAGAGGCCGTGCAGAGGGCCGTGTCCGACTGCCTGCCGCCCCTCATGCCCGCCATCTCGCTCAAGGTGCGCCCCTTTACCGAGCCCAAGGTGGGTTTCGCTGTAGAGCGCATTGTGGGTCGGTCTCTTATAGGGCTTGTAGAAAAGTAGACTTGATGTGCATAGCTGTAAGATGCACAAAGTTGGAGATGGTAAAGATAGGTTCCAAGAGGAGCCCTAGAAAGTGTAAGACAAAAAAGTAAATAAAGATGACAAAGACGTTAGGCTAAGTAGGCCCAGATTGTGAAGAAGAGAGAGATGGAGAAGTGCTGGGCGACTTGGGCTGGTCCAGGTGAGGAGAATGGCACCCAAGAGGCTTGGGGTGCCCAATTGGGTGCTCAAGTCGCCCATAGTCAAGGTGGGGACGTGAGGAACCCTCAAAGTGGGCCTGGAAGCGCCCCCACTAGTGGAACCGCGATTCCACAAGTTGGATTCGTGGTTCCACAAGCTGGAACCGCGTTTTCATGGTTGAGAAACGTGGGTCCAGGTTGGAGTCGCGTCCCAAATGTTGGGATGCGTGGTGAGGTACCCCAATTCGGATTTTGGGGTGCCTAGCCTCTGATAAAATCACTTGGGGGGGCACCCTATTCCTAATATGATCCAACCACTAATGTCTACACCTAATATAATGTAACACATTACACATAACAGAGAAATGTACTAAGTTGACTACATCCCAGATAAAAGCCTAAAACAGATCCTCAACAACAGGGCTTAACTTGTGCTGTCTGGTATGCTCTAGATTGCAGTGTCCGACTGCCTGCGGCCTCTCATGCCCGCCATCTCGCTCAAGGTGTGTCCCTCTATAGAGCTCAAGGTGCGCCCCTCTATAGAGCTCAAGGTGCGCCCCCCTATAGAGCTCAAGGTGCGCCCCTCTATAGAGCTCAAGGTGCGCCCCTCTATAGAGCTCAAGGTGCGCCCCCCTATAGAGCTCAAGGTGCGCCCCCCTATAGAGCTCAAGGTGCGCCCCTCTCTGTAGAGATCAAGGTGCGCCCCTCTATAGAGCTCAAGCTGCGCCCCTCTATAGAGCTCAAGGTGCGTCTCCTTGTGGCCTCAGAGTCTCTTTCAAGGCTTGGCCGGTTGTCCATTGCACTGAGAGTATTCCATCAAGTATCGCACTGAATATCATGCTGTTTGTGTATCGCACTGGGTGTCGCGCGGTGTCGCACTGGGTGTCGTGTGGTGTCGCACTGGGTGTCGCACGGTGTATCACACTGTGTATCGCACGCTTTTTGCAGAGGGGAGGTGCACGGTTTGGCTGAAATTGGCTTCTTCTTCCATCCCCTTTCTCCCCTCCCTTTCCCTTCACTCTCTCCTACACTCCAGGAAGGATGCGCCAAGCCGTCATATCCCAGCAGCCCAAGCCATTGTTGACCAGACACCTCTTTGCAGAGAGAAGGGGCGCTGCATTTGGGCTGAAATGAGACCTATGCTTCCCTTCTCATTCCCGTTTCGTCTACTCGCCCCCACTCTCCAAAAGGGAGGCGCCCAAGCACTCATATTCCAGCAGCTCAAGGCGCTGCTGACGAGCTACCACTTTGCAACTCTACACCCCTTTTTCGTTTCTCTCCCTGCTCTGTATTCTGCCAGGAGGGAGGCGCCCAAGCGCTCATCTCCCAGCAGCTCAAGGCGCTGCTGACAAGCGACCGCTTTGCAGAGAGGAGGGGCGCGGCGTTTGGGCTGGCGGGGGTGGTGAAGGGGCTGGGGCTCAGGAGCATCCGCGACCACGGCGTGCTGCAGGCACTGGTCAAGGGCGTGGAGGACAAGTGAGTGGGAGAGCAAGGGGTTTACAAGTTCTGAGGGTGAAGTGAGGGGGGAAAGAGGGGAAGAGTTGTGGTGAAGGGGCTGGGGCTGAGGAGCATCCGCGACCATGGCGTGCTGCAGGCGCTGGTGAAGGGCGTGGAGGACAAGTGAGTGGGGGGGGGAGGTTGTAGAGTGGGTTGAGAGGGGGTCGAGGGGGAGGAGGGGGGAGGAGGGGGGAGATGGGGGGGAGAGGGAGAGGGAGGAGCAGATGTGGTGAAGTTATTGGGAGCAGCAGTGAGAATCTTAGTATGCTGCAGGCTCTGGTTGTTACCAGGTTGGTCGCACACCTGGTAAGTCTGTGAATTAGTTACCACTCACTGACCGTGCACATACCCGTTGTCAACTGCCACCTGTGCACATACCCATTCGTGCCCCAACCAGGTCATCCCCCAAGGCGAGAGAAGGAGCACTCTTTGGCTTTGAGTGTCTCTCTGAGAAGCTTGGCCGCCTCTTTGAACCGTGAGTCACTCCTTTAAACTGTAACTTACCACCTTGAACTGCGAGATACCCCTTTGAATTATCTGTGGCCACTTTGACCCCTCTCAACTAGACATGATCAAAACGCGATTGCGATTTAAATCGCATCGCATGCAGGTGCGATGTTTAAAAAAGCGATGCGATTTTAAATCGCATCGCGGGATTTATTTTTGCAAAAAAAAAAAAAAAAAAAATCGCACATCGCATTTTACCCGCGATGTATTAAAAAATCGCATGCGATGTTTAATTAAATCGCGCAATGCGATTTTAAATCGCATCGCGTTTTAAAACATAATTAAAAAACACCCCAAAAAAACAGGAAAAAACCATGGCTGCGGGGAAATTGACTCACGGGCAGTCGTACGCTAGAGTGCAAATAACCAGTGTGGTTTCGTAGTGGGTTTCAGAGTGGGTTTCAGTGCAATATCGCGCGCGATTTTTTAAAAATCGCATATCGCACTCAAATCGCGTATTTTAAGCGCGATTAAAATGCGATTTAAATTAAATCGCGCGATATTAATTCATCGCATCGCGCGATGATAAAAAAAAAAAAAAAAAAAAACATCGCCATCGCAAAAATGCGATTAAATGCGATGCGATGCGATTTTTTTTGCCCATGTCTACTCTCAACCTTCCTCCAAAACCACCCACCCCCCTCCCCCCACCCCCCCTCCGTGGTGGAAGCCACAGTCTTGGACACTTCTTCCAGCGCTTGTATCTGCTACCTAATCTCCTAATCTTATTCATATCTTCTCGAAATTGCTCTCACATTATCAGCCACTTGTCTACGGGCTCGCTCGTTTCAAGATGCAACTGGCCAAGCCAAGGCTGCTTCCACTCCCTCACCTCACTTAGACTTTTTCTTCTCCCCTTACCTTCTCCAGCTATGTCATCCACACCATTCCCAACCTGCTGGTGTGCTACTTAGACCAGGCCATTCTAGTGCCATTCTACTTCCCCTCCCCTCTTTCCTCTCGCTTCAGACTCCAGCTACGTGATCCTCATCCTGCCATACCTGCTGGTGTGCTACTCAGACCAAGCCATTCTGGTGTAAGAGGCTTGCTTCTGAGTCGACTTAAAGTTCTCCTCTTCCCCCTCCCCCCCCCCCCTCCAGCTATGTCATTCACATCCTGCCATACCTGCTGGTGTGCTACTCAGACCAGGCCACGCCCGTGCGGGAGGCCACTGTGCATGCATCTCGGTGCATCATGGGGCAGCTCAGCGCGCCGGGCGTCAAGCTCATTCTGCCCGCTCTGCTCAAGGTACCGCTTTCGTCTGCAAGATGTTAGAGCTTGGTACACGATTGGTACACGCTTGGCCCACAGCATGCTGCTCTGCTGTGTGTGTATCGTGGCACGCGGCGTGCCAGATTTGTGATATCAATCTAGGTTTGAGACGTCTCAAAAGTATATAATTGTCACACAGCGTGCTAGATGTTTGAGCCACCCCTGTGCGCGTGGGAGGCCACAGTGCACACATCTCGCTGCATCATGGGGCAGCTCAGTGCGCCAGGTGTCAAGGTCATCCTACCCGCACTGCTCAAGGTAGAAAGGAGCGAAGCTGAGTTTTGGCTGCTCCGTGCAACCTCCCAGCCCAGCTGGGCAGCAGGGTTCAGGGTTTATTCATACTCTCGTTGCGCATACACCCTCCTATTTCCTCCAAGCAGGGTGGTACACTGTTTGTCAGTTTCTTGGAGCAATGGCCTTCAAGCCTTTCTCCCACCTTCCCCTCCCCCCTCCCATCCGCTTTCCCTCCCTCCTTTTTAACAGGGCTTGGAGAAGGCGCGGTGCAGCAAGCAGGGCGGAGTGCAACAGCTGGGAGCCAACCCTTCTCCCTTTCTCCACCCTTCCTTCCCCCACCCCCTTCTTCCGCCACTCCCCCCCCCCCCCGCCCTCTTTCCCCCTCTTACCCTCCGCCTCCGTTCCTCCTCTAACAGGGCTTGGAGGAGAAGGCGTGGCGCAGCAAGCAGGGCAGCGTGCAGCTGCTGGGAGCCATGGCCTTCTGTGCGCCCCGCCAGCTCTCTCATTGTCTGCCGCTTGTGGTGCCCAAGCTCAGTGAGGTGAGTTTCAGAAAGGTTTCGGGAGGTTGGGGGAGGGGGGAGGGTATTTTTGAGGCGCCTCAAAAATAGACTCCCCAAGCTCAGTGAGGTGAGTTTAAGAAAGGTTTCGGTGGGGGAGGGGGAGGGTATTTTTTAGGCGCCTCAAAAATATAGACTCCCCAAGCTCAGTGAGGTGAGTTTAAGAAAGGTTTCGGGAGGTTGGGGGAGGGGGGAGGGGGGGGGGGATGTGTGGGGAAACAAGCATGCAGCTGCTAGGAGGCATGGCCTTCTCTGCGCCCCCCCAGGTACAGGTTGGAGCGGTAAAAAACGCCGGTGTGCCTGCGGGGCTCCCGCTCATTCACCCACTGCATTCCCATCTGATTCCCCTTATGCGCTCCCCCTCATTCCCCTTATGCGCTCCCCCTCATTCCCCTTATGCGCTCCCCCTCATTCCCCTTATGCGCTCTCCCTCATTCCCCTTATGCGCTCGCCCTCATTCCCCTTATGCGCTCCCCTCATTCCCCTTATGCGCTCCCCCTCATTCCCCTTATGCGCTCCCCTCATTCCCCTTATGCGCTCCCCCTCATTCCCCTTATGCGCTCCCCCTCATTCCCCTTATGCGCTCCCCTCATTCCCCTTATGCGCTCCCCCTCATTCCCCTTATGCGCTCCCCCTCATTCCCCTTATGCGCTCCCCTCATTCCCCTTATGCGCTCCCCCTCATTCCCCTTATGCGCTCCCCCTCATTCCCCTTATGCGCTCCCCCTCATTCCCCTTATGCGCTCCCCCTCATTCCCCTTATGCGCTCCCCCTCATTCCCCTTATGCGCTCCCCCTCATTCCCCTTATGCGCTCCCCCTCATTCCCCTTATGCGCTCCCCCTCATTCCCCTTATGCGCTCCCCCTCATTCCCCTTATGCGCTCCCCCTCATTCCCCTTATGCGCTCCCCCTCATTCCCCTTATGCGCTCCCCCTCATTCCCCTTATGCGCTCCCCCTCATTCCCCTTATGCGCTCCCCCTCATTCCCTATCAGGTGTTGACAGACACGCACCCCAGAGTGCAAGCGGCCGCGCACACGTCCCTGCAGCAGCTCGGCAGTGCGATCCACATGTCAGAAACACCTGCCTTTGTGCTCGCAATGTGTGTTCCGTCCGCTTCAGGTGCAGGCGGCAGCGCACACGTCCCTGCAGCAGACCTGCTCACGCATTGCACTCCCATTCCACCCCACCCCCCCTCCAGGTGTTGACTGACACACACCCTAAGGTGCTGGCAGCGGTGCACACGTCCCTGCAGCAGGTCGGCAGTGTGATTCATAACCCTGAGATCGCCGCCCTCGTGCCCTATGTGTCCCTTCCTTGCGTTCCCTACCCTTCCAGGTCCTCACAGACACGCACCCCAAGGTGCAGGCAGCGGCGCACACGTCCCTCCAGCAGGTCGGCAGTGTGATTCGTAACCCTGAGATCGCCGCCCTCGTGCCGGCGCTGCTGGACGGCATTGCCAACCCCAACAAGCACGCCAAGGCCTGCCTCGACCTGCTGCTGCAGGTAATGCCTTCCCTGCTGCTCTGCACCCTGCAGGCAGGTACTGCCTCAACCGCTACAGCTGCAGGTGAGGATGTCTCCTCCCTCTACAGCTGCAGGTCACATGCACGACTCTTGATTCCACAGAGACCAGCATTCACCCAGACTTTCTGTCACCTCCATTGATGCCGCGGCGCTCGCGCTGATCATTCTACTTGCTAAACTGACTACTGACGCCACGCTCACTGGAAGGGGACATCCTTACCTCATCTACTGTCCAAGGATCCGCTCGCGCTCATGATCCCCATGATCATCCACCGCGCCCGTTCAAGTGCCTTGTCGACTCACAGTCCACTCCACTCAAAAGTCACCCTCCCCTCTCTTCTCAAATCATGAGTCACCCACCCACCTCGCTTCCCCCCCCCCAATCAAACTACCTTTGTGAACTGGATTGATGCGGCATCCCTCACACTCGTCGTCCCCATCATCATCCACCGCGCCCTGCGCGAGCCAGTCCCTTTGCCCTCCCATACCCTCCCCGTACCTCCCTCTCTTTCCATACCCCCCCCCCCCCCCAACCAGACCACCTTTGTGAACTCCATCGACGCCGCATCCCTTGCTCTCATCATCCCCATCATCCACCGCGCCCTGCGCGAGCGGTCGTCCGACATAAAAAAGCGGGCGGCGCAGATCGTGGGAAACACAGTGTCGCTCGTCACCGACCACTCCTCGCTGCTGCCCTACCTGCACCTGCTGCTGCCGGGGCTGAAGAAGGTGCTGCTGGACCCGCACCCCGACGTGCGCACGGTGGCAGCCAAGGCGTTTGGGTCGCTGGTGCGCGGCATTGGGGAGCACGAGTTCTCGGACCTCGTGCCGTGGATGCTGCAGACCATCGGGTAGGGCACACTTGGATGGCTACTTCTCTTCGCGTGCTCACCCCCCCAGGCACATAAGCCATTGGGGGGAGCACGAGTTCGCTCGCAGACCTTGTTCCATGGGTGCTGCAGACCACCGGGTAGGGCGCTTCTCCCAGCCAGGTATCCTGCTTGGGAACTAGCAGGCATGGCACTCCTGAGTAATCTCTCCCTCCCTCCACCCCCCTGCAGCACACCACACCATCCCCACCCTCCCCCTGCTGCACTGCTGGTTCGGAAAAGCCCTTCAAGTATCTTGCTGCAGGGCGTTTTTGAGAATTCTCACACACCCTAATTAAAAAACAACACCCTGCATCCTCAGAAGCACCCCCGCCCCACACTGTCCCCCCACTCCTCCTCCTCCTGCTGCTGCTGCTCTGCTCGTTGTGACTTTTGAGTCGACTCAAAAGTCACCTCGCCCCACACTGTCCCCCCACTCCTGCTCCTCCTGCTGCTCTGCTCGTTGGAATGAAGACCTTTCAAGCATCCCCTCCTCACGCTGTCTCATTTCCCCCCGACGCCTGCTCTGTTCTTCTCTTGCTGCATTGCAGCACGGGGTCGGGAGCAGCGCAGAGACGAAGCGAGGTGTTGGGGTTGCTGGGGGTGGCACCGCTTTGAGCTGCTGCTGCCGGCCTGCTGGCAGGCTGCTTGCTTCTGTGGCCCCTTCTAGTTTCCTTACTATCTCCGCATTCTGCCCCCTTCTCCTCTCTTCCCAGGTCCGATGCATCGAGTGTGGAGAGGTCGGGAGCAGCACAGGGTTTGAGCGAGGTGCTGGGGTCGCTGGGGCGGCACCGCTTCGAGCTGCTGCTGCCAGACCTGCTGGCGGGCTGCTCGCACAAGGTGGCAACCGTCAGAGACGGGCACCTGACACTGTTCAAGGTGAGTCAACGCTAGTCAACGCCGGTCAACGCTGGTCAATGCTGGTCTTTGAGTTGTGAGACTCCTAACACCACAACCTGCTGACGGGCTGCTCGCACAAGGGCATTTGACACTGATCAAGGTGAGTCAACGCTGGTCAGGTCAAGGCGAGTCAACACTGCACAGCACAGAGGCTAATCTTCATCGATGGTCAGGTAACTCTCATGCGTTACGATCTTCAGTATACCATGCTGCAACTGATTTTTATCCCATTGCCTTGCTCTTCTTACATCTCGAGCCTTCCTCGCATACCTCCTCCTCTCCTGGTCCGCCTCCTTCCCGATCCCCTCTTTTGGCCACTCCTCCTTTGCCTTGCAGTATCTACCACTGTCCTTCGGCGCACCCTTCCAGAACTACCTTCCCCAAGTGCTGCCTGCCATTCTCGATGGTAAGTATCTCATATGAATCCTCACACAGACAGCTCCTCTCCTCTTGTCGCTTCCCGTGTTCTTTCCATACCCATTTTGCCTCTCTCTCATTCGCCTCGTCGCTTGGCCCCTCATCACTTTCCTGCCTATCCTCACGACCCCAGGCCTGGCGGATGGGAATGAGGGAGTGCGTGCAAGTATGAGAGCCTTTCGTGTCTGCTTCCCTCTCGTCCCCATCTTATCTTCTTCCCACGCCCCCAGGTCTCGCGGATGGCAATGAGAGACACTGACTTGTTTCCCCGTCTCCCCTTGCCTCCCTTGCCTCCCCCCAGGTCTGGCGGATGAGAATGAGAGTGTGCGCGATGCAGCACTAGCAGCAGGCCATGTCTTGGTGCAGGAATACGCCATCAGGTGTGTGGTTGGTGGGTGCCATCATGTGCCAAGACACACACACCTGATGCCATGCTGTCTGGTTGCCATCATGGGCCATGCTGTCTGGGTGCCATCATGTGCCATGCTGTCTGGGTGCCATCATGTGCCATGCTGTCTGGGTGCATCATGTGCCATGCTGTCTGGGTGCCATCATGTGCCATGCTGTCTGGGTGCATCATGTGCCATGCTGTCTGGGTGCATCATGTGCCATGCTGTCTGGGTGCCATCATGTGCCATGCTGTCTGGGTGCCATCATGTGCCATGTTGTCTGGGTGCCATCATGTGCCATGCTGTCTGGGTGCATCATGTGCCATGCTGTCTGGGTGCATCATGTGCCATGCTGTCTGGGTGCCATCATGTGCCATGCTGTCTGGGTGCCATCATGTGCCATGTTGTCTGGGTGCATCATGTGCCATGCTGTCTGGGTGCCATCATGTGCCATGCTGTCTGGGTGCCATCATGTGCCATGTTGTCTGGGTGCATCATGTGCCATGCTGTCTGGGTGCCATCATGTGCCATGCTGTCTGGGTGCCATCATGTGCCATGCTGTCTGGGTGCCATCATGTGCCATGCTGTCTGGGTGCCATCATGTGCCATGCTGTCTGGGTGCATCATGTGCCATGCTGTCTGGGTGCCATCATGTGCCATGCTGTCTGGGTGCCATCATGTGCCATGCTGTCTGGGTGCCATCATGTGCCATGCTGTCTGGGTGCCATCATTTGCCATGCTGTCTGGGTGCCATCATCAGGAACGCTTGTAACCATGACATAGGTGCCATGGTGCAGGAATATGCCATCAGGTGTGTGCAAAGCCCTCTCTGCCCTCTCTGCTCTTCCTGCCCTCTCTGTCCTCTCTGCATGTTTTGCCATCAGGTATCTGTTGTGTGTGACATGCTGTCTCTGTGTGTTACCATGTCGTATGTGCCATGTCTTGCTGCAGCAACACGCCATCAGGTGTGCTTCTGCAAAAGCGACCTTCTCCGCCTTTCCCCGTCCTCCCACTCACCAGTCTGCCACCCCTGCTCCTCCCAGTGGTGGATGACGGTTACTTCAGCGACACTCGTCACTTCAAACCAAACCCCCCCCTGCCCTCCTCTCCCCTTCCTTCCCATTCCCCAGCTCGCTGCCCCTGATCCTCCCAGCAGTGCAAGAGGGTCTGTTCCCAACAGCTTAAGTCTTGCACGTTTTTCCTCTCCCCTTTTCCCCCGCCCTCCCCTTAACAGCTCGCTGCCCCTGCTGCTGCCGGCGGTGGAGGAGGGTCTGCCCAGCGACAGCTCAATCTTTTGCCCCTTCACCCTCTTTCCCTCCACTCCTATCACCTCCTCTCCACCTTCACCAGCTCGCTGCCCCTGCTGCTGCTCGCTGCCGCTGCTGCTGCCGGAGGAGGGTCTGTTCAGCGACAACACTCACTTCTTTCCCCCCCCCCTCTCCCCCCATTTTTCTCCCTTCCCTTGACAGCTCTCTGCCGCTGCTGCTGCCGGCGGTGGAGGAGGGGATGTTCAGCGACAGCTCAATCTTTTGCACCTTCACCCTCTTTCCCTCCCCTCCTACACTCCTCTCCCCTCTCTCCCCCCCCCCCCCCCTTCCCCCATTTTCCTCCCTTTCCCTAACAAGCTCGCTGCACCTGCTGCTGCCGGCGGTGGAGGAAGGTCTGTTACAGCGACAATCACATCTCTGCACCCTACATTCTCCCCCCCTCCTCCCTTCTTCCCCCCCCCCATTTCCCCCCCACCAGCTCGCTGCCCCTGCTGCTGCCGGCAGTGGAGGAGGGTCTGTTCAGCGACAGCTGGCGGATCAGGCAGAGCTCCATGGAGCTGCTGGGCGACCTGCTCTTCAAGGTGACTATAAGGGGGGGTATCTCTGATGACAAGAGCAGGCCCTAATTGGGCACTAGTGCGAAGGTGACTGTAACAGCGGCCGTGACTTCAATAGCAGAGCTCCATGGAGCTGCTGGGCGACCTGCTCTTCAAGGTGACTATAAAGGGGGGGAAGGGGGAGGGGGGGGGGGGTTGCGACTTAGGCGACCATAATGGGGGGGGGGAGGGTTGTTGTGACTGAGGTGACTATAACAGGGGGGCTATTTTAGTTGACTATAATATCGTCATTTCTCCTTTTTCATTCTTCCCTCCTCGTCATCTCTTCGTTCATTGTTTCAGGGGGCAGGCACGTTGGTTCATTGTTTCAGGGGGCAGGCACGTTGGTTCATTGTTTCAGGGGGCAGGCACGTTGGTTCATTGTTTCAGGGGGCAGGCACGTTGGTTCATTGTTTCAGGGGGCAGGCACGTTGGTTCATTGTTTCAGGGGGCAGGCACGTTGGTTCATTGTTTCAGGGGGCAGGCACGTTGGTTCATTGTTTCAGGGGGCAGGCACGTTGGTTCATTGTTTCAGGGGGCAGGCACGTTGGTTCATTGTTTCAGGGGGCAGGCACGTTGGTTCATTGTTTCAGGTGGCAGGCACGTTGGTTCATTGTTTCAGGTGGCAGGCACGTTGGTTCATTGTTTCAGGGGGCAGGCACGTTGGTTCATTGTTTCAGGGGGCAGGCACGTTGGTTCATTGTTTCAGGGGGCAGGCACGTTGGTTCATTGTTTCAGGGGGCAGGCACGTTGGTTCATTGTTTCAGGGGGCAGGCACGTTGGTTCATTGTTTCAGGGGGCAGGCACGTTGGTTCATTGTTTCAGGGGGCAGGCACGTTGGTTCATTGTTTCAGGGGGCAGGCACGTTGGTTCATTGTTTCAGGGGGCAGGCACGTTGGTTCATTGTTTCAGGGGGCGAGACGATGCACCGCGGGCACGCAGGCACGTTGGGCAAGGTGGTGCTGGAGGGTGGCAGTGATGACAAGGGTTAACTCTCCCTGCACTCACCTCTTCCTCTCCTTCCCCCAACCCTCCCCCCCCTTCCCCCTTCTCCCCCCCCCCCCCCCATTTCCCCTCCTCTCAATTCCCGGGGGTGGCAGACACTTCAGGCAAGGTCGTGCTGGAGGGCGGCAGTGACGAGGAGGGTTGACTCTCCCTGTAATCATCGCTTTCTCTTCCTTTCCCCCCCACCCCCCCCCACCCCCCATTTCCCCTCCTCTCAATTCCCCGGTGGCAGGCACGTCAGGCAAGGTCGTGCTGGAGCCTGGAGGGCGGCAGTGATGACAAGGGCGCGAGCACAGAGGTGCAGGGCTGTGCGACTCCGGATACAGCTCTTCATACTACCGTTCTGGGTTCTCCTTCTCCCCTTCGCCTCCTCCTCTTCCCTATTTGCAGGTGGCAGGCACCTCAGGCAAGGTGGTGCTGGAGGGACTTTTGAGTCGACTCAAAATTCTTCTCCCCTCCGCCTCCTCCCCTTCCCCCATCGCAGGTGGCAGGCACGTCAGGCAAGGTGGTGCTGGAGGGTGGCAGTGACGACGAGGGCGCCAGCACAGAGGCGCAGGGCCGGGCGATTCTGGACGTGCTGGGGCTGGAGAGGCGCAACGAGGTGCTGGCTGCCGTGTACATCGTGCGATCGGACGTGTCGCTGACTGTCAGACAGGTGTGTGTTGCAGCCTGCAGGGGTTGACGGTGCAGACGGGTTTTGAGAGTCTTGACAAAGGGGTTGTAGTCTAGTGATTCTGGACGTGCTGGGGCTGGAGAGGTGGAACGAAGTGCTGGCTGCTTTTTTAGTCGACTCAAAAATCACCTATGGAACGAGGTGCTGGCTGCTGTGTACATCGTGCGATCGGACGTGTCGCTGACCGTCAGACAGGTGTGTGTTGAGTGCGGGCCATAATGGTGCAGACGGGGTTTTGACAAAGGGGTTGTAGCCGAGTGGTTCTGTGGGCGTGCTGGGGCTGGAGAGGCGCAACAAGGTGCTGGCTGCCGTGAACAAAGGGGTTGTAGCCGAGTGGTTTTGGCCGTGACCATCGTGCAATCAGATGTGTCGCTGACCGCCAGACAGGTGCGCATACAAGGGGTTGCCAGTGCAAGGGGTTTTTGACAAAGGAAGATGCAGCCGAGTGGTTTTGAATGTGCTGGGGCTGGAAAGGCGGGTCGGGGAGCTTGCTGCCGTATACATCTTACGAGCGGATGTGTCGCTGACTGTGAGACAGGTGCGGAATCAGAGGGGGGAGACAGGGGGTGATTGGACATGGGGGGGTGGGTGAGTGAGTGGGGTGAGGGTGTGCAGGAGGGGAATGTTCTTGAGGGGGTTTGAAGAATAGGGAGGAGGGGACCTATGGGGGGTTGACATTTACCTTTCGTTTTCCACTTGCATGCATTCCTCTTGCAATTCTCTTCTTGTGTCGTCTTGTCCTCTCCTTCCCACTCCTCCCCCCTGCAGTCCGCGGTGCACGCGTAGAAGACCATCGTGGCCAGCACCCCACGCACGCTCAAGGAGATCATACCCACCCTCATGCGCACCCTCATACCCACCCTCATGCGCACCCTCATACCCACCCTCATGTGCACCCTCATACCCACCCTCATGCGCTCTCTCATACCCACCCTCATGGGCCTCTACATGCCACTCTCATATGCTCTTTCTCTCACTGCCCCACCGCTCTCTTGGGTTGTATCCCCCCTCCCTCTCCTCCCCATTCCAGTCCGCGGTGCACGTGTGGAAGACCATCGTGGCCAACACGCCGCGCACGCTCAAGGAGATCATGCCCACCCTCATGCGCCTCCTCATCGAGTCCCTTGGCTCGGCCTCCTCCGAGCGCCGCCAGGTGAGACTTGAGCGCCAGGTAGTAATAGTATCCCCCCTGGTCTTCTGGGTGCATGCATGCAGGTGGGGTAAGCAGGTGTGCGCTGAGGCGCCTCAAAAAGCTCCTCCTCAGGTGGGGTAAGCAGGTGCGCGCTGAGGCGCCTCAAAAAGCTCCTCATCAACTCCCTCGGCTTTTGAGGCGCCTCAAAAAGCTCCTCATCAACTCCCTCGGCTTTTGAGGCGCCTCAAAAAGCTCCTCATCAACTCCCTCGGCTCACCGGCTCGCCCTCCTTCGAGCGCTGCCAGGTGAGAGATAGAACGACTCTCTTGCCACTTGCTCATTTGAGGCTTGAGCGCCACCAGGTGAGATCTGTGGGCCGGGTAGGGTTGGGTACCAAGTAGGCATGAGCAAAACCGGGTATTTACCCGACCCGACCCGGTTTTGCTATACCCGACTTCGGGTCGGGTATTTTCGGGTCGGGTACGGGTCGGGTAACATGCCCAGGACCAATACCCGGACCCGGGATTTGGGGGCGGGTAATTTAATACCCGCCTGGCGGGTCCGGGTATACCCGACCCGGTTTCCTTGAAAAGCGGGTAGTATTACCCGCGTTTTTCTACCCTGTTGGGCTACTAAGCCTACGACCTAGATGGTGCTTCAAAAAACGTGAGCTGCGGGAGGGAGTATGAGGTGCGCCAAATCTTTAACAGTTCTGGTGTGGTGAGTGGGTCGTGAGTGGGGCCTGAGTGGGGAGTTGGTTGGGTTTTCTAGTTGGAATGGGGTTGTGTGCGGTTTCTGGGGGTTTGATTCTTTGACCCCCAGAGTCAATTGGTTGGAACTCCAACCAATGTGGTGCTGTGCGGTTGGCTGGATTCAGGTTAGGTTGCAAATTCGATTGGGGAAATTCGATTGGTTTGACTTCCAACCAATTCCCCCCAATTCAACCACTTTGAATGCATCTGTATCTACGAAACCCAACCCCTGCCAATCTACAATGCTCTAAGTGACCTAGCAGCTCACGTAACCTAGAAATTTGATGAAATTTCTCTACCAGCGCGACTAATGTCTCGCTGGTTCCGTCGGGTAGACCGCTACCCGATTTCGGGTCGGGTACCCGCTACCCGACGCGTCGGGTAGCATTTCGGGTAGCGGGTATTGATACCCGCCCCGGGTAACCCGGACCCGACCCGCCGGGTAATTTTCAGGATTTCCGATACCCGACCCGCCCTAAAAGCGGGTCCGGGTACCGGGTACCCGACCCGGGCGGGTAGTTTGCTCAACCCTAGTACCAAGGATGCAATATCATAGGGTATGATATCATGGGCGCAATTCCATACTGTAGGATACGATACGTGCCATACCATAGGGTAGGGTACCATGGGTGCAGTACTACTATAGGGTTTGGTGCCAAGGGTGCAAGCAACACCAGAGGGTGAGTGAGGTACTACCATGGGTGCAACAACGCCGTACCTTCCAGCATAACCATGCGTGAGGCGCCTCAAAAATAGATTCCAGCATAACCATGCGTGAGGCGCCTCAAAAATAGATTCCAGCATAACCATGCGTGAGGCGCCTCAAAAATAGATTCCAGCATAACCATGCGTGAGGCGCCTCAAAAATAGATTCCAGCATAACCATGCGCGAGGCGCCTCAAAAATAGATTCCAGCATAACCATGCGTGAGGCGCCTCAAAAATAGATTCCAGCATAACCATGCGTGAGGCGCCTCAAAAATAGATTCCAGCATAACCATGCGTGAGGCGCCTCAAAAATAGATTCCAGCATAACCATGCGTGAGGCGCCTCAAAAATAGATTCCAGCATAACCATGCGTGAGGCGCCTCAAAAATAGATTCCAGCATAACCATGCGTGAGGCGCCTCAAAAATAGATTCCAGCATAACCATGCGTGAGGCGCCTCAAAAATAGATTCCAGCATAACCATGCGCGAGGCGCCTCAAAAATAGATTCCAGCATAACCATGCGTGAGGCGCCTCAAAAATAGATTCCAGCATAACCATGCGTGAGGCGCCTCAAAAATAGATTCCAGCATAACCATGCGTGAGGCGCCTCAAAAATAGATTCCAGCATAACCATGCGTGAGGCGCCTCAAAAATAGATTCCAGCATAACCATGCGTGAGGCGCCTCAAAAATAGATTCCAGCATAACCAATCTGGAGTTGGCCTACGCACGTACTTCGTCGCCTACACAGCATGGGTGTTACATCGTCGCGCGCAGCTACGCCGCAAGGGGTGTTTGATCGCCCTCTGCCCTCGGATTGAACATCAATCAACATTTCTTGACCCTGTTCTGTTCGCCTTTTCCTCTGTCCCTTCCCCCTTCTGCCTCCCTTCTCCCCCTTCTCCCCCCCTCTCTCCCCCCCCCTCATAGATGCCCAGTCGCGCCATGGGCGAGTTGGTGCGCAAGCTGGGGGGGCGAGTGCTGCTGGCAACCATTCCTACCTACCCCCTGCTGGCAACATCCCTCGACCCTGTTGCTCCTGTTCCTCTGCCCCTTCCTCCTTCTGCCCCTCCCCCAGATGGCCAGTCGCGCCATAGGCGAGTTGGTGCGCAAGCTGGGGGAGCGAGTGCTGCTGATATGGTAACTCGTCCTTGTCTGTTTGGCTTGTATCTCCTCTGCACCCCTTTCTCGCCCCCCCACCAGATGGCCAGTCGCACCATAGGCGAGCTGGTGCGCAAGCTGGGGGGGAGGCTACTGCCTTCAACCAACATCCCTTGACCCTGTTGGCCCTTTTCCTCTGTCCCTTCCCCCTTCTGCCTCCCTCTCCCCCTCCCTCCCCCTCCCCCATAGATGGCCAGTCGCGCCATAGGCGAGCTGGTGCGCAAGCTGGGAGAGCGAGTGCTGCCCTCCGTGGTGCCCATTCTCTCTGCGGGACTCAAGGACCCCAACCCGGCCACCAGACAGGTGCGTCATTAGGCACTTTAAATCAAGGCAGGTGCGTGGGTGAATGGGTATAATGCTCTTTGTGCTTCCCTTTGTGCTAGACTTGCTGCCCTCTCTCTGCTGCTTTCTCTCTGCTGCTTTCTCTCTGCTGCCTTCTCTCTCTGCTGCTTTCTCTCTCTGCTGCTTTCTCCCTCTGCTGCTTTCTCTCTCTGCTGCTTTCTCCCTCTGCTGCTTTCTCTCTCTGCTGCTTTCTCTCTGCTGCTTTCTCTCTCTGCTGCTTTCTCTCTCTGCTGCTTTCTCTCTCTGCTGCTTTCTCTCTCTGCTGCTTTCTCTCTCTGCTGCTTTCTCTCTCTGCTGCTTTCTCCCTCTGCTGCTTTCTCTCTCTGCTGCTTTCTCTCTCTGCTGCTTTCTCTCTCTGCTGCTTTCTCTCTCTGCTGCTTTCTCTCTCTGCTGCTTTCTCTCTCTGCTGCTTTCTCCCTCTGCTGCTTTCTCTCTGTGCTGCCCTCCGTGGTGCCTATCCTATCTGCCGGGCTCAAGGACCCCAACCCGGCCACCAGACAGCTGCGTGTATGAGCGGATGGGTATGTTGCCCTGTGGGATGGCCCCTAACTGTTGCACTTGATGCTGCCCTCTGTGCTTCCCTCTGTGCTGCCCTCTGTGCTGCCCTCTGTGCTGCCCCCTGTGCTGCCCTTTCTTCTGCCCTCTGTGCTCCCCTCTGTGCTGCCCTCTGTGCTGCCCTCTGTGCTGCCCTCTATGCTGCCCTCTGTGCTGCCCTCTGTGCGTGGAAATAATCCCTTCCCATACCGCATGCCTCCAGGGAGTGTGCTGCGGTCTGTTCGAGGTTACGAATGCAGCGGGCCGGCAGAACCTCATTTCACATCGAGAGGGCATTGATGCAGGTTTTTTGTGCAATCTTGTGCTTGGAAACAATCCCTTCCCATACCACATCCTTCCCATACCACTTCCCATGCTGCATGCCTCCAGGGAGTGTGCTGCGGCCTGGGCGAGGTGATGAACGCAGCGGGCCGGCAGAACCTCACTTCCCATTTGGACGACCTCATAGGCACCATTCGTACTGCGCTGTGTGACGAGTGAGTGATCCGTTTGTAAGGGGACGCTGCTGGGTGTAGCTAGTGGGTTAGTGGTGAGGCAGAACCTCACTTCCCATTTGGACGACCTCATAGGCATCATTCGTACTCCCGCTCTCTCATCCTGCGCTCTGTTCCGTTTCTCATCCTCCCTGTGACTCTCTTTTTTATCTTGCTGATCAGGGATGCTGAGGTCCGAGAGGCAGCAGCGCAGGCATTCAGCACCCTCTACAAGGTCGGTGCATCTGTTGTGCTTGCCTCGCCTTGAGAACCGTGTGTATTGCCTTGAGACGTCCAAAAACCGTGTGTAATGCCTTGAGACATCCAAAAACCGTGTGTAATGCCTTGAGACGTCCAAAAACCGTCTGTAATGCCTTGAGGCGTCCAAAAACCGTGTGTAATGCCTTGAGACGTCCAAAAACCGTGTGTAATGCCTTGAGGCGTCCAGAAACCGTCTGTAATGCCTTGAGTCGTCCAAAAACCGTGTATAATGCCTTGAGACATCCAAAAACCGTGTGTTATGCCTTGAGACGTCCAAAAACCGTGTGTAATGCCTTGAGACGTCCAAAAACCGTGTGTAATGCCTTGAGACGTCCAAAAACCGTCTGTAATGCCTTGAGGCGTCCAAAAACCGTGTGTAATGCCTTGAGACGTCCAAAAACCGTGTGTAATGCCTTGAGGCGTCCAGAAACCGTCTGTAATGCCTTGAGTCGTCCAAAAACCGTGTATAATGCCTTGAGACATCCAAAAACCGTGTGTTATGCCTTGAGACGTCCAAAAACCGTGTGTAATGCCTTGAGACGTGCAAAAACCGTGTGTAATGCCTTGAGACGTCCAAAAACCGTCTGTAATGCCTTGAGGCGTCCAAAAACCGTGTGTAATGCCTTGAGACGTCCAAAAATCGTGTGTAATGCCTTGAGACGTCCAGAAACCGTCTGTAATGCCTTGAGTCGTCCAAAAACCGTGTATAATGCCTTGAGACATCCAAAAACCGTGTGTTATGCCTTGAGACGTCCAAAAACCGTGTGTAATGCCTTGAGACGTCCAATAACCGTGTGTAATGCCTTTAGACGTCCAAAAACCGTGTGTAATGCCTTGAGACGTCCAAAAACCGTGTGTAATGAGTCTGTTTTTGAGTCGACTCAAAAACTGACTCATTGCAACGCAGGCGTTCAGCAATCTCTACAAGGTGGGTGCATCTGTTGTGCTTGCCTCGTTTTGAGACATCAAAAAACTTCTGAGATCGTGCTGGCCTTGTTGCACTCTTTGGGATTGACCAACAGGACAACTCTTTCCCCCACCTCTCAACCCCTCCCCTCCTGTTTTTCCCCCCCTTACAATCTCCCCCAACAGAGTGCGGGGATGCAAGCCATCGATGAGATCGTGCCGACCTTGCTGCACTTCCTTGTTGCGTCCACTGAAGCCCCCCCTCTTCCTGTCCTCCCTCCCCCTCCCCCTCCATCTACCCCCCAACAGAGTGCGGGGATGCAGGCCATCGATGAGATCGTGCCGGCCTTGCTGCACTCCTTGGAGGATCCTCACACTTCTGCCACCGCTCTCGATGGGCTCAAGCAGATCCTCAGGTAGGATGGGCTCAGGTGATCTCCCAGTTGGGATGGGCGCAGGTAATTTTCTCAGGTGGGATGGGCTCAGCTCAGGTGAATTCTTATGTGGAATGGGGCTCAGTCGTTTGGAAACTCCTGGTGCTGTTCTGTTCTGCGCTCCACTGTCATTTTCTTCCGTGCCCTTTTCCCCTTCCCTTTCACTCCGTGCCCTTTTCCCCTTCCCTTTCACTCTGTTCTTCCCGCCCGCCTTGCTGTCCCTGATGATGTGCAGTGTGCGCACCACGGTCGTTCTGCCCCACATCCTACCCAAGCTCGTCAAACCGCCTCTCACGTGCGTATATCCAGGATTTTGTTCTCTGTTTTCTGTTCATTTCATGCATCATTACCGTATCCCATGCACTGGATAAACCTCAGTCAGGCACACCCCCCTCCTCCCAATCCCCCTCCTTCCCTTCCCTTCCCGTCACCGCACCACCCCCTCTCCGTTCTCTCCTCTCAAGTCGGAGCACATGCTTTGGGTCTGGGAATTTAGCCGTATTCCCTTTGTCAACCCTCCCCTCTCCCCCCCTTTGCAACGAGGTCACCTCGAACCGTATTTGCAGCGAGGGCACCTCGAACCGTATTTGCAGCTAGGGCACCTCGAACCGTATTTGCAGCGAGGGCACCTCGAACCGTATTTGCAGCGAGGGCACCTCGAACCGTATTTGCAGCGAGGGCACCTCGAACCGTATTTGCAGCGAGGGCACCTCGAACCGTATTTGCAGCGAGGGCACCTCGAACCGTATTTGCAGCGAGGGCACCTCGAACCGTATTTGCAGCGAGGGCTCCTCGAACCGTATTTGCAGCGAGGGCACCTCGAACCGTATTTGCAGCGAGGGCACCTCGAACCGTATTTGCAGCGAGGGCACCTCGAACCGTATTTGCAGCGAGGGCACCTCGAACCGTATTTGCAGCTAGGGCACCTCGAACCGTATTTGCAGCTAGGGCACCTCGAACCGTATTTGCAGCGAGGGCACCTCGAACCGTATTTGCAGCGAGGGCACCTCGAACCGTATTTGCAGCTAGGGCACCTCGAACCGTATTTGCAGCGAGGGCACCTCGATTTCAGCCGTATTCCCTTTATCAACCCTCCCCTCTCCCCCCCTTTGCAGGGAGTTCAAGGCGCATGCGCTGGGGGCGCTGGCAGAGGTGGCTGGGGCGGGCATGTGCATGCATCTGGCACCACGGTGCTGCTGCCTTACTTGAGCACTCCCTTACACTTACACCCCCCCCCCCCCCCCCCCCCCCGCCTCCCTCCTCCTCCCCTCTCTCGCCCTTCCAGGGAGTTCAAGGCACATGCGCTGGGAGCGCTGGCAGAGGTGGCTGGGCCGGGCATGTGCGTGCATCTGGCGACGGTGCTGCTGCCTTACCTCAGCACTCCCTTACACTTACACCCCCCCCCCCCCCGCCTCCCTCCTCCCCTCCCCCCCCTTTCCAGGGAGTTCAAGGCGCATGCACTGGGGGCGCTGGCAGAGGTGGCTGGGGCGGGCATGTGCGTGCATGTGTCACCACGGTGCTGCTGCCTTACTTGAGCACTCCCTTATACCCACACCCCCCCCCTCCCCCCGCCTCCCTCCTCCTCCCCTCTCCCCCCCTTTGCAGGGAGTTCAAGGCGCATGTGCTGGGGGCGCTGGCAGAGGTGGCTGCGGCGGGCATGTGCGTGCATGTGTCACCACGGTGCTGCTGCCTTACTTGAGCACTCCCTTACACCCACACCCCCCCCCTCCCCCCGCCTCCCTCCTCCTCCCCTCTCTCGCCCTTCCAGAGAGTTCAAGGCACATGCGCTGGGAGCGCTGGCAGAGGTGGCTGGGGCGGGCATGTGCGTGCATCTGGCCACCGTGCTGCCACCACTGCTCAATGAGATGGGGCAGATGGAGGAGGTGAGGAGTGGTAGAGTGAGGGGAGAGGGGCTAGGGTGAGGTGAGAGGGGCTAGAGTGAGGTGAGAGGGGCTAGAGTGAGGGGAGAGGGGCTAGAGTGAGGGGAGAGGGGCTAGAGTGAGGGGAGAGGGGCTAGAGTGAGGTGAGAGGGGCTAGAGTGAGGTGAGAACGGCTAGGGGGAGGTGGCAATTTTGATGCGTGTCAAAGCATGTGCGGGCATGTGTGTGCATCTGGTGGTGGTGCTTGATAGAGATACCACCTCTGCTGAATGAGATGGGGCAGATGGAGGAGGTGAGAGGAGGTAGAGGGGGGTGCGAGGGTGTTGTGCTTGAGGTGACGTCTCGAGACGTCTCGAAGCATTTGTGTGCTTTTGTAGTGTTTTGAGGCGTCAAACATTCCTCTGCCCGCTTTCCTCTGCACCATGGTTTTGGCATGAGCAGAGTTTGGAATGCGCCTTACAACGTTCTCTAGTTTGTACCTCCTCCTCCTCCCTCATCCGCCCACCCCAACTCCCCTTCTCCCCCCGCTCCTCTCTTTTTCGAAACCTCCCCTCCCCCAGTCCGCCCTGCGCACCATGGCGGGGGCATCAGCAGAGGCGGTGGTGAGGGGGGTGGATGAGGAGGGCTTGGACTCCCTCATAGGGGAGCTCACGCACGCACTCTCGGATAACTCGGTACGTGTGTGGGGGTGGGGTGGGGTAGGGTGGGAGAATGGAAAAGGCTGTGGTGAGGGGGGGTGGATGTAGGGGAGGGCCTTGACTCCCTCATAGGCGAACTCACCCACAATGTCTCTCAGATAACTCAGTACATGTGTGTGGGGGGGGGGGGAGGGGGGGGAGGGAGGGAGGGGGTGGGGGGGGGGGGGAGGGGGGGAGAGGGAGGGTGGGGGAAGAGGATGAGGAGGGGTTAGATTTCCCCCACATGCGATCTCTCTGATAACTATGAGCTCACATGCACGCACTCTCCGATAACTCGGTCGGTACGTTACTTGTTCCACTAGTTTCAACATCGTGGTTATTGCCTGTTATGGTTACGACGCATCTCGGAAGCTCCTCCAACTTCCTCGCTTCTATAACCTCACTGCCGTCGTCCCTCTCCTCTCCTCCCCTCCCCTCCCCTCCCCTCCCCTCTCCTCTCCTCCCCTCCCCTCCCCTCCCCTCTCCTCTCCTCCCCTCTCCTCTCCTCTCCTCCCCTCCCCTCCCCTCCCCTCTCCTCTCCTCCCCTCTCCTCTCCTCTCCTCCCCTCCCCTCTCCTCTCCTCTCCTCCCCTCCCCTCTCCTCTCCTCCCCTTTCCTCCCCTCTCCTCTCCTCGCCTCCCCTCCCATCCCCTCCCCTCGCCTCCCCTCCCCTCCCCTCCCCTCCCCTCCCCTCCCATCCCCTCCCCTCCCCTCCCCTCCCCTCCCCTCCCCTCCCCTCCCCTCCCCTCGCCTCCCCTCTGCCTTTTCAGCCCGTCATGAGGCGTGGAGCAGCGAAGCTTCTCGGAACGTTCTGCAAGATCACCCGTGTGGATCTGGAGGAGGAGCTGCCGTCGCTGATGACGGTCCTCATTGTGATGCTGGCGGACACGGACGAGGCATGTGTGAAGGTAAGCAGTACACATCGACACAGTCTATTTTTGAGGCGCCTCAAAAATAGACTCCTCATGCTGGCGGACACAGACGAGGCATGTGTGAAGGTAAGCAGTACACATCGACACAGTACTATGCTGTGATGCGTCTATGAAGGCATGTGTCTCAGCATGTGCATCTGGAGGAGGAGCTGCCGTGTCATCACGCTGCTGGCGGACACTGACGAGGCGTGTGTGAAGGTAAGTTTCCTTGGCTTGCATACAAAGGGGTGAAGGGAGGTTCTATGATGCAGAGTGTGTGTGTGTGTGAAGGTATGTGATTCAGTGTGTGGTTCTGGAGGAGGAGCTATTGCCCCTGAGGTGAGGACTATCCTGATCGTGATTCTGGCGGACACTGACGAGGCGTGTGTGAAGGTATGTTGCCTCCTTGGATCAGCCCACATACACACACACAGACGAAGCTTGTGTGAAGGTATGTTGGCTCATTGATGCGCACCTTGTGGCGAGCATACACGTGCATCTGGAGGAGGAGCTACCTACCTACCTACCGCCCGTTGATGAAGCATCTGTGAAGGTATCTTAAAGCCCGCAACCCAAATGAACCTCAAACGATATCCGCCGAAACGAAAGTTTGTCGCAAGCGAAACATACATGGTGGCTGTAGGCAACCAATCACAACCAACCACGTTTTGGGACAGACAGCAAGGGAGAAGAATTGTGTTGAAGACGCTTGGAATATGGACCGTTAGATTTAGATATAAGAAAACTAACGGTTAGGAAACCAAAACACTTCGAAGTCCCAAAATGCAGGCTGCACTGATCTTGAGAAAGCCACCCCGCAAAACAGCTCTTGTAACTCTCGCCCAAGCCCCAAGCCCACTTCAAAGTTCAACCGCTGTGCATATGAAGGTCGTGGCTTGCAATTTGGGATGCGGGCTTTAAGGAGTCTCTGCCAGTTCAGTCCTCACTGTCTCTCTGATGATTCCTCACGTGCCATGCCCTCACACCCCACCTGCCATGCCCTCATACCCCACCTGCCATGCCCTCATACCCCACCTGCCATGCCCTCATACCCCACCTGCCATGCCCTCATACCCCACCTGCCATGCCCTCATACCCCACCTGCCATGCCCTCATACCCCACCTGTCATGCCCTCATACCCCACCTGCCATGCCCTCATACCCCACCTGCCATGCCCTCATACCCCACCTGCCATGCCCTCATACCCCACCTGCCATGCCCTCATACATACCCCACCTGTCATGCCCTCATACCCCACCTGCCATGCCCTCATACGCCACCTGCCATGCCCTCATACCCCACCTGTCATGCCCTCATACGCCACCTGCCATGCCTTTATACCCCACCTCACACAGGTGGCATGGGAGGCTCTAGGCAGCGTGACAAGCACCATCCCCAAGGAGTCGCTGCCCGTGCATCTCAAAGTGGTTCGGGACGCCGTTGCCACTGCGAGGGACAGAGAGAGGAGGAAGAGGAAGGTAGGTGCCATGACTTGTGAAGTATGTGGCAGTCGAGTGCCGTGCCAGTCAGTCATCCAGCCGGAAATTACTCTTATTTGTTGAAACATTCTCATTCTTATCTAACGTTGTAAATTCTGCCGCTGCTTTGATGCTTCTGTCGTGCTTGTCGTCTCACACTGTCTTTCCTCTCGTTTCGTTTGGTGCTCTCGCCCCCCCCCTCCCACCCTTTACCGCCCAGGGTCTCCCTATGCTCGTTGCTGGCTTCTGCCTACCCAAGGGCTTGCAGCCCGTGCTTCAAATATACCTACAGGTAAGGGTTTGTGTGTGTGTCTGTTTGGCTGTTTCTGAGGCACCTTTGAAGCGCACTTGTCCCCATGCCTGAACAGCATTAACAGCATCCAGATACACACATGCGCCTCTCTTCACTTTCCAGGATGTGGAGTGCAGCAGAGTGAGTGAGGCGGGCCTGACGCCATCTTCTTATCTTAGTCTCACTTGTCCTTTCCTTCCCACCTCTCCCACCCTGCGCCCTCTCCCCCCCCCCCCTTCCAGTCGCTCATGCTGGGCTCGGATGAAATGCGTGAGGCAGCAGCAGACAGGCTGGCAGTGCTGATAGGTGTCAACCTGACCTGATGTCCCGCCTTGGCCCCTTGAACGCCCATTCGTCCGTCTCGTAACCCCACCTCCCTCCCTTACCCCTCCCTCCCCTTCCAGTCGCTCATGCTAGTTTTGAGGCGCCTCAAATCAAAACTAGACTCCCTTCCAGTCGCTCATGCTGAGCTCATCTGAATTGCTCGAGGCAGCAGCAGACGGGCTGGCAGAGCTTATAAGCTTTGCCCTTCTGACATCCCACCCCGTACACCCCCTGCTCCCCACTCCTACCCCCCACCTCCCTGCCAGTCGCTCTTGCTTGGCTCGGCTGAGATGCCGAGTTAGCAGCAGACGGGCTGGTACCTCTTGTACCCACACCCCCCTCCCTTACCCCCCACCCCCCTCCCAGTCGCTCATGCTGGGTTCAGCTGAGATGCGCGAGGCAGCAGCAGATGGGCTGGCGGAATTGATCGATGTGGCAAGTGAGGCGGCGCTGCGGCCGTTCGTGGTGCCGATCACAGGGTGAGTGTGAATTGGTGTGTATGAGTGTGTATGAGTGTGGTTGAGTGTGGAGTGTGGGGGTAAGTGACAGTCGCTGCGCTGCTGGTTGATGTGGCAAGTGAGGCAACCCCCACAACAACCCCTCACATCCCCTCTCACCCCCTCACATCCCCTCACACCCCCTCACACCCCCTCACATCCCCTCTCTCTCTTTCCCCCTTCTCCTCTTGTGCCGGTTGCTCTCCCCGTGTCTCCCCTAACAGTCCCCTCATCCGCATTGTGGGGGATCGCTTCCCCTGGCAAGTCAAGGCGGCCATTCTCTCCACTCTAGCCATCCTCATCTCCAAGGGGGGCATTGCCCTGAAGCCCTTCCTGCCGCAGCTGCAGACCACCTTCATCCGATGCCTGCAAGACTCCAACCGGTGAGCAGCTCTTCTGCTCTTCCAAGCACGTGGTATGCATAGGTGGGCTCAGGTGCACCTCACCTCAAGCCCTTCCTGCCGCAGTTGCAGACCACCTTCATCCGCTGCCTGCAGGACTCCAACGGGTGAGAGACAATGTCCTGTGTGTATGCCTCAAGCACGTGGAGTGTATTCTGGGGCAGCATGTGGTGTATATGGGGATTGGCATGCACCAAGGGGGGCGTTGCCCTCAAACCCTTCCTGCCGCAGCTGCAGACCACCTTCATCCGCTGCCTGCAGGGCTCCAACCGGTGAGCATTTCTCTTGCCCTCTGCTGTTACTCGCCCACTTGCCCACTTCCCACACTCCCCACCACCCCTCCTCCTCTTCTTCCCCCCTTCCCGGCATGGTGCTGTCACCAGCAGCCAAGGCGTTGGGGGACCTCAACTCCTTCCTTTCCCTCACACCTCCCTCACACCTCCCTCACTCCCCCCCCCCCCCTCCCCCCCACCCCTCTCCCCCCACCCCCCCAAGCACCTTCTTCCCGAGCTCAGCACTGTGCGATCCCACCCACCCAAGGCGCTGGGGCGGTGCATGTCTAACAGCACCTGGTTTCACTCCCATCTTCCCCCCTCCCCTCCCCAGCACTGTGCGATCGCACCCACCCAAGGCGCTGGGGCGGCTGACAGCTTCCTGACAATCTTACTCTACCGCCTCCCTCTCTCTTCACTTCCTTCCCCCTTCCCCCTTCCGCCTTCCCCATTCCCTCGTCTCCCCCTTCCCCCTTCCCTCATCTCCCCCAGCACTGTGCGGTCCCGTGCAGCCAAGGCGCTGGGGCGGCTGACAGCGCTCAACCCCAGAGTGGATGCACTCATTGCTGACCTGCTCAACTCCATCCAGGTCAGCACGTTCAGCACTCTGTCCAGGTCAGCATCGCATCCAGGTCAGCACGTTTTCTGTGCCTTGATCCAGGCCGATTGCTCTCAGCTTCTTCCTCCATCCTTCCTTCTGCGGTTACGACCCTCCATCGTAAATTTCAAATTCCGTCCTTACGTCTTGCACTTCGCTTCTCCTTCCTTCGTTTTTTCTTCTCAAACATTTCTCATCCCCCCCTTTTCCCCCGTCCCCCCCCCCCCCCTCTTCTTCCCCCTCTTTTCCCTCAGCACTCAGCCCCCCCTTTTCCCTCAGCCCCCTTCTCAGCCACCTCAGCACGTCTTCCCCCCCCCCCAATTCTCCTCCCCTCCTATGCGCCCTCCCCCCCTCAACTACCCATCCCCCCTTTCCCCCTCGAATGCACCCGCCCTCCCTTCCAGAGTGCGGACGGTGCTGTGAGGGACATGATGCTGATGGCCGTTCGAGGGGTGGTGAGTCACGGAGGCAAGACGATGTGGTCCCTGTGGTCCCTGTGGTCCCTGTGGTCCCTGTGGTCCCTGTGACCTGTAGTGAGGCACACGCGCCCCCCCCCATCCCCTTCCTACAGAATGTGGACGGAGCAGTGAAGGAGTCGATGCTGATGGCCGTGCGGGGCGTGGTGAGGCGCGGAGGCAAGGCAAGGCAAGGTGGTCCCTGTATTGAGGCACCTCAACACCCCCCCCACCTCCCCGTCCCTGTCCCCCCTCAAATACCCCGCCCCTTCCTTGCAGAATGCGGACGGAGCAGTGAAGGAGTCGATGCTGATGGCCGTGCGGGGCGTGGTGAGGCACGGAGGCAAGGCCGCCTCTGCAGCCACCCTTGAGCGCCTGTCCTCCTCACTGCAGGCCGTGCTGTTTGCCTCGGACAGCGACGACGACTCTGTCGTTCGCTCCGTTGCCGCAAGAGCACTGGGGGCTACAGGGCAGGTGAGGGTGTGATGATGGATAGGTTGGGCACAGAGACGGCGCCCTTGGGTGCCTCTCCTCCTCGCTGCAGGCCACGCTGTTTGCCTCTGACAGTGATGATGACTCTGCTGTTCGCCTCCCTCGCCCTCTCCTCCCTCCTCTGCCACATGGCCGCCCACCCTCAAGCACCCAGCTACCAGGACTGGAGAAAAAAGCGTCTGGAGCAATCAGGGTTCATCCAGGAAGATGACTTCTTCCCCCTCTCTCCCCCATATCCCCCCCCCCCCTCTCCCCCACCAGTACCCATCTGAGTCTCCTCTCCCCCCTCGCCACCCCTCTCCCCTTCTTCCTTATCCCTCACAACCCCTTCCCACCCCCATCCCCCCCCCACCATTACCTCTCTGAGCCGGACTACCTGTCTCTTCTCTCCGCCCTCGCCGCCCCTCTCCCCTCAACCCGCCCCTGGTCGCACCGCCTCGCTGCCACCCTCGCTCTCTCCTCCCTCCTCCGCCACACAGCCACCCGCCCTCAAGAGCACAGCTACCAGACTACCAGCATTGCAGAAAAAGGCACCATGCTCCCCCCCTCCCCCCCCCTCCCCTCCCCTCCCCCCCCCTCCACCCCCCTTCCCCCCCACCAGTACCTTGCGGAGCCGGACTACCTGTCTCTTCTCTCCGCCCTCGCCGCCCCTCTCCCCTCAACCCGCCCCTGGTCGCACCGCCTCGCTGCCACCCTCGCTCTCTCCTCCCTCCTCCGCCACACAGCCACCCGCCCTCAAGAGCACAGCTACCAGACTACCAGCATTGCAGAAAATGGCACCATGCTCCCTCCCCTCCCCCCCCCTCCCCTCCCCTCCCCCCCCCCTCCACCCCCCTTCCCCCCCCACCAGTACCTTGCGGAGCCGGACTACCTCTCTCTCCTCGCCGCCCTCGCCGCCCCTCTCCCCTCATCCCGCCCCTGGTCGCACCGCCTCGCGGCCGCCCTCGCCCTCTCCTCCCTCCTCCGCCACACCGCCACCCGCCCTGCGCCCCTCTCACCAGCGCATCTGGCAGCAGTGGGGGAAAAATCAGCGGCGGCGATAAGGGCACATGCCGGGGATGATAAGGTGCCCGTGCGGGAGACTGCGGCAAAGGCGGCGGGGAGGTGGCTTGTGCTGTTTGGGTTGGGGGATGGGAGTGCGGCGGGTGTGGTGGCGGTGCTGGCATCGCTGCTGGGTGATGCGGCTAGTGATGTGCGGAGGAGGGCGCTTTCTGCAGTCAAGTTGGTTGGCAAGACGGTGGGTCAATGTAGTCAACTTGATCAACGTTTAGTTTTGAGGGACAAAGATGGTCAAGATAGTCAACACTTTCATTGCTCCTTGTCCTGCTGAGGCTGGCTGGCAGCAGAGCAAACTATCCTCTAACCTACCTCCTGCATCCCTTTCATAGCAGGAGCCCATCCCAGCAAATCTCATGGCAGCGCTGGGCCCGCCCTTATATAACCTACCGCCACTATCCAAGTGCCTCAATCAAACACACGAGTCGCATTGCATTGCACCATCTTCCCCCCCGCTACTCCCAGGACCCCATCCCTGCCAAGAGGTGACTTTTGAGTCGACTCCAAAGTCTTCCCCCCCGCTACTCCCAGGACCCCATCCCTGCAAAGCTCATTGCCTTGCTGGGCCCGCCCCTATCGGAGTGCCTCAAGGACACGAGCCCTCTCTTTATGTCATCTGATTATGGCCTGCTGTCCTCCCCTCATCCCCACCCCACCTGCAGGACCCCATCCCAGCCAAGCTCATTGCCTTGCTGGGCCCGCCCTTGTCGGAGTGCCTTAAGGACACGAGTCAGCCTGTGCGGCTGGCAGCAGAGCGAACCATCCTGCACGCCTTCCAGCTCAGCAAGGGTAAGCTCCAGCTCAGCCAAGGTACTATCCAGCTCAAGAAATGTACGATCCAGCTCAGCAAACACAAGGGATGGCCCTCCAGCTTATCCAGAGTACGAAATAACTCCTTCACTCAGCAATGGGGTTGTGGTTACCTTGCCTTTCAACCACCAGAGTTACCCTTGCTGTCCGTCAGTGCAAAAGTTTCTCCTAGGGCTCGCGTTTCCTCTTTTCCTAAAAGCACAACTGTAAGCCAACAGCACGACGATCTCTTTCCCTATTTTTCTGCACCCATGCACTGTGACTCCCCAGGCCCTGATCAGGTGACAGCAGCACAGAAGTATCTCACGGGGCTCGAGTCTCGCCGCATTGCTAAGATGAATGTTGTCAGGTGAGTTTCTTACCCATTTGGTCGAAATTGGTCTGCAATTGGTATTTGGGGACGTCTCTTGTTCTTCATTATGTTCTGAAGAGCTTTGCATTTCGCACGCCCGTTTGACCTCGCCTCATTTGCTCGTTTTGGTTTGAATTGTTATGCTGTGCAGCGATGGTAGCGATGATAGTGAAGACGACGAGGCTCAGGTTGATTAAAGATGTTGATGCCTTTTATCATGAGATGCAAAGAAATGCGAGTTACTGATTTCAGCCATTTGGTGGATTATAAAGGAAGATGATATCTTGTACATCAATGCACCACTAGAAAACATGAGGCAATTGGTGCATTTTAGTGTGAAGTGTGAATTATTTCGTATATGCCTCGTCAGCTTGTAACTGTTCTCGTTCTCTCTTCCATATCTTCAGTGTGTGGGGCAGGAATAGGCCCCAAGGACTGATCTCGGCTCATCCTCACCGCAGCACACAACAAACTTTATTCAGCTGGGGTTAGGTGGTTCGGTTTGCGGTGGAAATCGAACCACCTTACCCCAGCTGAATAATGCACTCACGGCACTTCTGTCACGCTGTATAAAGTTGGTTGAACCACCTAAAGCACGGCAAATGCTTGATACAATTCACTCACGGCACTTCTGTCACGCTGTAACAATACCCCTACGGCGTGAGACAAACAGACACGGAACCATGCGTCGGGTTCGCAAGACACTGCTCGAACATCGCTGAGTACCGCGTTCTACCAGTTAGCCATTCAAATTCCAGATCAGGTTCGTTTTCGGCAAAACGGACGCAGCGTTCCGCGCCGTAGAGAAGCCTGGAAGGGACTAGTACAGGCCATGTTGAGCACTTCACTCCGTTTCGGGCAGATTGAGAGGCTTCTCTGAAGTGGAAACCCAACAGAGGCCTGACTGGAACCTTGGCAAGGGGCTTATAAACATGCCCTGAAAATGAACCCAGCTGTCCTTGCAGGAAGGATTTTGCGAATCGTGCCGCCGTTGTCGCACTATCGCATCTCCCCCAAACCAACCCCAAGGTTCTGCTCGCCGCCTCATGATGAAATCAAGGCAGAAACACCGAGAGAGCGAAAGGGGGCAGGAAAAAAATAAAGTGGTTTGGCTCAGCTTGGTTGGCTAGGCTCAGCTTGGCTTGGCTTGGCAGCGGCTCCCTCACTTCCCTTCACATTCCAGATACACCAAGGTCCACCATCCACCGTACGGTGTTGTTGAGCTGCTGATTCGGTCGGTCGGTCGGTCAGGTGGTTGCTTCAAATTAAAAACACCTTCAATTCAACCAGGCCTTGCAGGGGGACCATTCCACCACTCGTGAACAGTGACTGCCATTCTCACTACGGGGGTTCCATCCATTCGGATATTTATCCATTCATCCGTTTCATCCATTTCGGTGTTGCTTGCTTTCCTCGTTGCTTTCTCCGCAGCGAAGGAGCTCTGCGCATGCCCGTTACGACACACAGCGTGGTTGCATTGCACGCCTTGCTCGCTGCTACTATTTACCGCTGACATTCTAGCATCTGGTTCCCTTACCTCCCTCTGCTGACATTCCCCCTCCGAAGCATTTCCGGGTTGTGTCATGTTAGTCATCGCAAGAACGATTCATCCGCGTACTATCCTGAGTTCAGACGGTGACCCAAGCTCCTAAGGCGCGTTCCGAGCTCAGACATTCATCCGCGTTCATTCTACGATCCTGAGTTCAGGCGTTGTCCTGAGTACAAGCTCCTAAGCTGCTAGTGCCATTTCGTACAGACCCATCAGGCTCGGATTCCACCGTGGCGCGATTAGTCGGACCTGCAAACGATAGCAGCATTACTCCGCTTGCCTTCTAGCCTGTCCCGGAGGGAATGATAGAGAAGCGAGGACCAACACAACCACATTGCCTTCTAGCCTGTCCCGAAGGCTCATGGCGGAATCTTGACCAGCTGCTGCCACGTGTAACGTCGCCAGAGATGTCGTTCGTCCGGCGAGCCGCGCGATGGTACCGAGCTCCTCCATTCATTTAGATTTGCTCCACATACCTATCGCGTCAAGAAGAAGCTACTTAGCTACTGACGCACCTTCGCGTCACTTTCGTCTTGACGTGATATCAAGCTTATCTTAGAGTCCACCTCCGTTGATTCTGCAGGGTGTTTTTTAGAAATCTCAAAAACATCTTGCATCAGCAAAGATTCGCAGTCGCTTCAGTCGCTTCAGCCGCTTCAGTCGGTGTCTATCGTAACCTCTGTTAGGGTGTCTTGCCGTCCTTCGCTGGCTCATGCGCTTCTGCTCATGCGCTTCTGCTCATGCGCTTCTGCTTTACCGGCCCCCATTTCTCTGTTGGAAGCCCTACTGCAGCTGCGAGCAGCCAGGCCTTTTTCTCGTGTGGCTTTCGTCTAGCCCTCCCTCCACTCTCCAAGTTTCCTCCATTTCCTGCTGCTCGCTTTCTTGATTCGACTCAAGACCTGTCTCATGCGCTTGAGCTCTACCGCCTCCATTTCGCGTGTGGCCTTCGTCTAGCCTACATTCTCCAAGCTTCCACCATTCCCTCCTGCTTTCTTTCCTCTACCACTTCTCCTCTCCCCCCTCCCTCCCCCCCCCCTCCCCCCTTTCTCTCCACCCTGCCTACGCGCACCCGTTCCCACACCCAGCGCTGCCTCGTGCTGTCGTTTCTTCTCCCAGCCGTCCCGCCCCTCAAACTCCTTGTGACGCCGCGGTTTTCCGCCTCTCCCTGTCCTCCCCTTATCTTCCCTTCACTCCTGGCTGCCTCTTGCAATCGCCGCGCTCGTCATTACCTCGGCACTCGTCCTCCTGGTCAAGCTGACTCCCGCACACCACGCCATTCTTAACCTCCACAATACACTCTTTCTCAAACCCCACTCCCTCTATGTTTCCCGCCACTCCAGGCTGCCCCTTGCAATCGCCGCGCTCGTCATTACCTCGGCACTCGTCCTCCTGGTTCCTTCAACTCCCGCACAGCACGCCATTCTCACCCTCCGCAATACCCTCGTCCAAAGCGGTGGCAGCGACGTTCCAGAACCGTCCGATCTCCACCAAGCGGCTGCGTCTGTCCATAGATCTTCTCGACTGGCATCGGACCCCTCGGTACAATCTCCTGCAGTGCAGCAGCACCCTGAATCCGCCGCTCTCCCCAGCAGCACCAGCAAGCGCAGCGGCGGAGGTGGCGGCGGCGGCGGCGGGAGTAACGGGGACGCTACTAACGAGGACGAATCGAACACGTTCACTGACATACCGAATGACCTGCAGGCGAGGACTCTCCACCACTCAGACCTTCGCGAGCTGAGCCAATCCCACGGAGGGTCGGGGGGCGCAGGGGTGATTCTCGAGTCAGCTCAAAAGACACCACAGCTGAGCCAATCCCACGGAGGGTCGGAGGGTGCAGAGGTGATTCTCGAGTCAGCTCAAAAGACACCAGAGCTGAGCCAATCCCACGAAGGACCAGAGGAAGAAGAGATAGACCCATGGCTGGAGAGCCTGTGCCTGGGAAAGCGCAGGAATGACCTCTGCGACTGGGACCACAAGGGGAGAGGGGAGAGAGGGGCAGGGCATTTCCAAGTAGGTGCTTCTGGGTTGTCTGGGAGCCACTTGGGAGCCGAGCCCCAGTCGGAAATCGAGGCTATCTGGGCCGCCCATGCCGCCAAATACCACCCCAGACGCCCGGCACAGGCTTGGAAAGAGGCCCGGGAAGAGGCTCGGGAAGAGGCTCGGGAAGAGGCTCGGGAGGAGGCTCGGGAAGAGGCTCGGGAAGAGGCTCGGGAAGAGGCGCCGGAAGTGAAGGAGAAGGAGCAGGAGAAGGAGGAGGAGGAGGAGGAGGAAAAATGGAGCGAGGAGAGGGAGGCACAAGAGTCCTGGCGCATCTCCTCCCCCTCCTCCTCCTCCCACTCCTCCCCCTTCTCCCACTCCTCCCCCTCCTCCCACTCCCCCTTCTCCTCCTCCTCCTCCTCCTCCTCCTCCTCCTCCTCCTCCTCCTCCTCCTCCTCCTCCTCCTCCTCCTCCTCCTCCTCCTCCTCCTCCTCCTCCTCCCACTCCTCCCCCACTCTCGCTGGTTCGTCGCAAGCCATCCACCTCTCGTCTTCCACAGGAAACAGAAGAGTCATTGCAGTTAAAAAGTCCCCTCCACCTAAGAAGAACCCCCCTCCTCCCAAATCCGCGTCCTCTGCTCGAAAAAAGTCGCCACCACCGCCCCGTCCCCCTCCTCCTCCTCGTTCGCCCCCGCCCCCTCGTCCTCCCCCGCCCCCTCGTCCTCCCCCACCCCGCTCTCCCCCTCCGCGTCCCCCACCCCCCAGCCCTTCGCCACCTCCCCCCTCTCCCCCTCTCCCCCCGAGTCCCCCTCCCCCTCCCGGGCCCGTGTGCGAGGGGCAGTGCTGCTCCAACGCTGCGCCCGTGATCCCCCCTGGCGCGCCCAGAATGACGTCCCTGTGGCTCAGCAGCCAGCTGGCGCACGGGGCTAAAGTGAGTGAGGGATTCGGGGAAGGGGGAAGGAGGGAGAGGGGGGGGGGGGGGGGGGGGAGAGGTTGGGACGGGGGGAAGAGTATAAGTAGGAGTGTGGGGGCAGTGCTGCTCCAATGCTGCGCCCGTGATCCCCTGGCGCGCCCAGAATGACGTCCCTGTGGCTCAGCAGCCAGCTGGCGCACGGGGCTAAAGTGAGTGAGGGATTCTGAAAGGGGGAGAGGGAGGCTGATGGGGAGGGGGGAGGGGGGAGCGGGGAGGAGGGAGGAGGGTGGGGGAGGGGGAGGGGGTGGGAGGGGGAGGGGCAGGAGGGGGATCACGTGGTTTTTATTATCTTCCAACTCATCCTTTCCCCCCCTCTCCCCCTTTCCCCCCCATTTCCCCCCATTTCCCCCCCTTTCCGCCCCTTTCCCCCCTCCCCCCTCCCCTGGCTTCCCCCAGGTGATAATACAGTCCAAGACGTGGGCCATATGGTGGACGGCGGAATTTGGCTCGACCTGGGGGAAGGGCGTTGCAGGCTGAGTCAGCAGCACACCCAGTGCCCCTTTCGCCCCCCCCCCCTTACGCTCCCCCCCCCTTCGGCCCCCCCGTTGCCCCCCACTCCCTCCACTCCCCAAGGTGATGAAACAGTCCAAGGCGTGGGCCACGTGGTGGACGGTGGAAGACAGGACAACTTCGGAGGGGCGCATTGCAGGCCAAGTCAGCACCGCCACGCCCAGCCCCTCCCTAGCCTGGGGCGCGTCCGACTTCCTAGAAGAAATGTCAACGGATCTCTTCCTTCCACCTCGTCCTTCCCCCCCTTCCCCCCTTTTCCGCCCGTTCCCCCCCCCCCCCCGCCCGTGCCCTCCCCCTCCCCCCCTTCCTCTCCCCCCCCTCAACAGGTGATTATTCGGTCGTCACGTGGTGGACGGCGGAGGACGGCTCGACCTGGGAGGGGCGCGTAGGCTGAAACTTCACCACGCCTAGCCCCTCCCTCCAATTCCTCACCCCGATTTTATGTATCTCTCCTAACTCGTCCTTTCCCCCCTCCCCCCGCCTCCCTCCCTCCCCTTCCCTCCGTCTTCCCCCCCCCAGGTGATAATACGGGCCAAAACGTGGGGCACGTGGTGGACAGCAGACGACGGGGCAACCTGGGAGGGGCGCGTGGGCCGAAGCTTCACCACGCCCAGCCCCTCCCAGGCGCTCACCATCATCCGAGTCTCCGACACCCAATTCCAATTCCTCACCCCAAGCAACACCTTCCTAGTAAAAGCCGCTTCTGGATTCATGGAAACGACCCGCAACGCGTCAGACCCCCTCACAGTATTCTCCGTAGAGCTGATCCCCGGCACCGTGTATGTCGTTTTCTGGTCCGCGGATAAGTGGTCGGTGTCGGAGGATGGGCAGACGGGCCCGCAGTTTTGGTGGCAGGGGGCGGGCGACTGGGAGCTGCACGACGTGCGCGAGGTGATGGAGGTGCCGGCGATTCGTGGGGCGAACCTGGGCTCGTGGCTCATGACCGAGCCCTGGATGAACCGAGAGGCGTTCAAATTCGCCGGGTACGGCGACGGCACCCGGGTGAGTGGGGGAACGGGGGAGGTCCAGCAGTTTTCTTTAGTGCCAGAACTTATGTGGTACTTTAGCATGTGCCAGGAATTGGATGCTAAGTTATATAGCGCGGAAAAGTTGCTTCTTGAGAGAGATGTTTCTATAAAGTGCTTTTTTGCATGGGTGTCTTAGTGCATTACTAGAACCGAGTATTCAGTCTCACGCTTCTCTCCAACAACCCTGTTGTATGGCGACTGTTTTGGTATGGTATGTTGCAATTTGTATGCGTTGCATGGCACGTGCGTGAAGCCACGTGGCATTGCACATGCCTTTGCTCATGTGGTATGTGGCATTTGGGTTATTTATTTGTTTCATTGTCATATCATGTCATGGTATGGCATGGCATGGCATGGCATGGTATGGCATGGCATGGCATGGCATGGCATGGCATGGCATGTCATGGGATGGCATGGTATTGGCACACTGTATGGTATTGCATGGCAGTTCACATTGCGCTCGATCATATCAGGGAAGTACGTCTCTGCACCCGGTGGTGGCGGCACGATAGTAAGTACACTTTGCACTGCACGACCCTTACCAGCTTAATGACGTGGCAGCCCTAGGTGACTCTCTCGAGTCGTTTAAAAGAGTACGTCTCTGCACCCGGTGGTGGTGGCAGCACGATAGTAAGTGCACTAAGCCCTAGACCACCCATGCTAGCAGAATGGTTATTATCACAACACTTTAAATGTCACCATCTCTCTTGCTCCCCATGCCCTTGTTTCTCGCATATCCTCCTCCCTTCCCCCCTCCTCACCGCAGCACATGCAACGACTCACCCCCCCCTCTGCTTCCTCCCGTCCCCCCTTCCAACCCCCCTCTCCAGTTCCTCCTCTCACCCTTCATCTCCCTCACCCCGTCCCCCTCTCCCCGTCCCCCTCTCCCCGTCCCCCTCTCCCCGTCCCCCTCTCCCCGTCCCCCTCTCCCCGTCCCCCTCTCCCCGTCCCCCCTTCCCGATCCATCTCCCCCCAAGCAGACGAACTGCAACAGCTCGCTTAACAGGACACCTATCTCCATCCATCCACCGCACCAACCTCTTTCTGGCACATTCCCTCGTGCCGTTCCCTCGTGCCGTTCCCTCGTGCCGTTCCCTCGTGCCGTTCCACCCTTTACCCTCCTGACAAGCAGACGAACTGCTACAGCTCGCTTAACAAGGACACTATCTCCATCCATCCACCTCACCACCGCTTCCTTGCATATTCCCTCTTTCCCTCCCTCCCTCCCTCCCTCCCTCCCTCCCTCCCTCCCTCCCTCCCTCCCTCCCTCCCTCCCTCCCTCCCTCCCTCCTGGCAAGCAGATAAACTGCAACAGCTCGCTCAACAAGGACACCTATCTCCACCTCACCACTGTTCAGAACACGTCATCCAATACTCGCCGGGTAAGGCCCACCGTAACCCTTCTTTTAAGGGGTTCAGTTGTAGACCAGCAGTTGGGAGGCGATATCCCATGAGAGGGTCTCAACACATGGGAGGCGATATCCCATGCTCAACTTGTCTGGCCCTCTCCTTGCAGACTCATGGGTCTCATCTCTTGCAGTCGATGTCCCCTCTCCTGCTGACTTTTGAGTCGACTCAAAAATCGACTCATTACACACGGATTATACACTGAGAGAATTTTTGAGTCGACTCAAAAATCCTCTCCTGCTGACGCATCAGGTTGCCATGCAGTGGCTTCAGTACTGGGCTGTACGTGCCCGTTGAGGCGCCTCATAATGCAATTCATGTATGCTCATAATCATGTTGTGCTCTCCTCTCCTCTCCTCTCCTCCCCTCTCATCTCCGTGCCGCATCAGATTGCGGTGCAGTGGCTTCAGTACTGGGCTGTACGTGACAACTCACCAAACGTCTGGGTTGAATCCACCGAGCCCGAGGTATGCTGCTGTGTCAGTCCGCACCGCACCGCACACCTTGATTGAGGGTTTGGGGTTTAGTCATAATGGTTGTTGTATCATTGAGGGTTTCGGGTTTCCGGTTTCACTGCACCGCATTGCACACCTTAATTGATGTATCTTACCCACCCACGTGGCCGGCTGACTTTTGAGTCCACTCCGAAGTCATCCTTTGAGCCAAGCCACAAGTCATAGTTTGAGTCGACTCCAAAGAGTGCACTGCGCTACGTTGACCACCCACGCTGGCCATCCATGGTGGTCGAGGAAGGAAGTGCCACCCACGCTGACTCATTGCGTCCCCGGTCCTTGTTTCTCTCTGCAGGGCGCAGCAAGCAACTTTGAGCTGTTCATCTTCGGCACGCCTTTGAACAGCTCCATGGAGCACGTGCCCCTTCACACTTTCTTCACAGCTCTCACCGGAGCACATTCCCCAGCTCACGATTGCCTGTTCCCTGCCTTTCCCCATCTTCGGCTGACCAGGGCGCAGCCAGCAACTTTGAGCTGTTCATCTTCGGCACGCCGCCAACTGCTCCACGAAACACATGCGCCTTCACTCTCCCTTGTCGCTATTCCCTCCCCCCCCTCCCCCCCCCCCCCCCCCACCACAACCCGCTTCCTTCCCCAGGGCACAGCCAGCAACTTCGAGCTGTTCATCTTCGGGACCCCGCTCAACCGCTCTACGGAGCAGAGGGGAGGCAATGTGCGGGTGGTGCTGCACGCACCCAATGGCTTGTTCCTACAGGCCAACCCTGACGGCTGCCTCACTGCTGACCTCTTTGACTCCCCTCCCCATCCACCTACTCTACCCCCTCTCTTCCCCCCTCCAGGGCGCAGCGAGCAACTTCGAGCTGTTCATCTTCGGCACGCCGCTCAACAGCTCTACGGAGCAGAGGGGAGGCAGTGTGCGGGTGGTGCTGCGCGCTCCCAACGGCTTGTTCCTACAGGCCAACCCCGATGGCTCCCTCACTGCTGACCTCATCGACTCCCTGGATAACGACGCCATATGGAGCAGCGCTGCTGCCTTCGACCTCACTGTGGTTAGTGCCCTTTTTCTCCCTCCCTCGCTCCCTCATTTGACCCAGTTTACAGAGAGCCTACGGTGTTTACAAAACTGACGTATGCACCCTGACAACTCTATGAAAGTGCCTACAACATAAGATGTACCATGACATTGCTCCCTTGTTTGACCTTTGTCAAGTGTGACGTGCCTCCTCTTTTACTTCACCTGTCTGCTCCATGCCGTCCTCTCTCCCTCCCAACTCCTCTCCCTCCCCTCTCTCCCCCCTCCCCCCCCAAGATCATGGTGGGTGAAGGCCAATCGGCATCCATCCATCCGTCACAGCCAACATCTCTTTTCCATCACCGTGCTCGTTCTCGCCATTTATCAATATTTTCTGAATGCAACATTTTTTCCTCCACACTTTCCCTCCCCTCCAGCTGTGGCGGGTGGAGGCAGATTGGCAGGCGGCCTACACAGCAGGCAGCGCAGCCCCATCAATCTACGAGAACATTCGGCGAAACTTCATCACAGAAGCCGATTGGCAGAAGATGCAGGAGCTGGGGGTGAACACCGTGCGCATCCCCCTGGCGTACTGGATCGGCCTTGACGCGGCCCCCGAGTTCCCCTTTGTGCCCGGTGCATCGGCCTACCTGGACTGGGCGTTTGCCATGGGGAGGAAGTACGGTGTGCGCATCTGGTTCAGCGTGCACGTGGCGCCCGGCTCGCAGGCCGGCAAGGGCAATGCAAGAGACGGGCTCATCCGCTGGCGAGGGGCCAATATCAAACGCACCCTCGGCTTTGTCACGTGGCTTGCTGACAGGTGCGCGAACTCCCTTCTTGATTCTGCTTTCACTTCTTTTGTGCGCCGGTTGCTGAAGGGGGCTCCTGGAATTGTGACTTCTCGAGGGTAATAATAGCAGACCCGATGTGGCTGGGCATGGGGTTGCTGGAACAACCTCTTTTGAGTTTCTCTAGTGTCTTCCCTACTTAGAGGTTCTCTCATGCCGATCCACACAGGTACGGCGCCGATCCGATGTGGCTGGGCATGGCGCTGCTGAACGAAGAAGTGAAGGGGGCTCCTGGACTGCTCCTGGAATTGGCTGTTTCAGTGGGAACCCATATGTCTTGGCAAACCTTCAAACCACCTCTTTTGAGTTTCTCTGGTGCTGTCCCTACTTTGGCTTCCTACCCATGCAGGTACGGCGCGGACCCGATGTGGCTGGGCATGGGGCTGCTGAACGAGCCGGTGGTGGGGGGTGCCAATGGGTACGCAGGGGTGGACCTGGAGGACATGCGGGGGTACTACTCGGACGCCTTCAACGCCATCCGCGCCCGCTGCGTGTGCTGCTTCGTGGCCATGGAGGGCCGCGTGGGCAGCAACTTTGGCGACGTGATGTGGCACATGAACGACGTGTGGCACAACAACGTGATTCTGGAGCAGCATATCTACGAGGTGTTTGGCAACTTCTTCAGCTCCAAGGGCGTCGACTGGGAGATCGACTACGCCTACACCACCAGGAAAACCAACATCGTCAACTTCCAACAGGTGGGCCATTCAACCCGAAACCCTCCCTAAAATCCTCAACCTTGAACCCTCAGCCCTAAATGCTGAGCCTTAAACCTTCAACCCGGAATTCTCATCTCTAGTTGGGAATGCGTAACATAACGTGATTCTGGAGCAGCACATCTACGAGGTGTTTGGCAACTTCGTCAGCTCCAAGGGCGTCGACTGGGAGATCGAGTATGCCTACACCACCAGGAAAACCAACATCGTCACCTTCCAACAAGTGGGGCACACAATCCCAACCCTTGAACCCTGCACCATAGACCTACCCTGCACCATAGACCTACCCTGCACCATAGACCTACCCTGTACTCATAACCACCTGGAAAAACAACATCGTCAACTTCCAACAGGTGGGGTGGGGAGAGAATGCGTGTCTCATGTCATTGTGTTGTTTCACCCTTTGAAGCCCAAATCCCAAATTGCGGATTGCAAGCCCAAAGAACCATGTGCTCCACAGGCCTCGGCAGTCTGAGATTTGGAATACACCAGGATTCTAGATCTGACGGCTCTTATTCCAATTTTTTGGTGAAAGATATCCAGCCATTGAGTTCGAGCCCTTAGCCATCCAACTCCCTAAAATCGTCAAATTGTCAAGGCTTCAATCTGACGGTCAGTATTCTAACCCCACACAAAAGTATAGTTTTTGAACAATCTGGGCCACAGGCTTTGACACCTCTCTTGGTTGTTCACCCACAACACGCCACATGTCCCGTTGTGATTGGTTGGCAGCAAGTGGGGCGGCAGCTGCTGGTGGGCGAGTTCTGCAACGCCATGGGCAACAGCGCCACAGCGGAGCAGCAGGCCAACTTCTCGCTCGCGCAGATGAAGGCCTTCAGCTACGCCAAGGCCGGTTGGTTCTTCTGGTCCTGGAAACTCAACACCACTGGTCAGTGCTGCCTCTCTCTCCTCCACTCTTGTTGGTAAAATCCGAAGCTGTCACCGGTTACTGTTAACCTGCTTACCTGTCCTTGTACAAACCTGTCATCTGTGGTTTCTTATGCTGTTTGCTGTACATGTGATCCTCCTATCATGGTGCAGGGACGTACCACTGGCAGTTTGTCAACAGTTACGAGCGAGGTTGGTTGCCGAAAAAGCCGGATGGGAACTGGTATTGATTGCTACAGAAAGGCCACAGACCGAATGGGAAATAGTAGATATGCATGTAGGTTTGATTGGGTTTGTTTTTTCGCTGTACATCAAACCTAGCACCTTGCTTGGTGCTGGAGTCGACCATTTCGTGTATCATAATTTTTATTTGTTACACTGATGGATTGCACAACATGATTCCTCATGGATTTATTTTTTCAATTATACGTAGCAGGTTTTCGTTGAAGACATGTTGATGTACTTAGTCTGTAAGGCGTACACTGCTATAATGGGGTTGCCGCGTAGCTCTGCCACGAAATTCAAATCGTGGTCCCAAATGTGGTCTCCTGCAGGGCTCAAATTTGAAGGGTGTTTCACCCTGATTGCCCTTGCCAACGGCCGCTTTTTCAGGATCACCCTGATTTTGTAAGGGCATTTTTTCCGTGACCCTTAGTCAAAAAGTGTAAGATTGCTTTTACCCTGTTGTAGTACGGTAAGAGTACTTCTAGTTCTACACTGACCAGACAGACAGGGTATCGCCGAAATCACACTGGAACAAAAGAACGGCCCGCATATTCAACAAGTTTCTGTGTCCAGCTGGCGTCGCACTGCATGTATGATTTTGGCGAAGGGCCAATCAGGCCCCTCACACCTGCTCCAGCTCGTGTCGGCCTGCATCTTTGATTTTGTCGAAGGGCCAGTCAGTCCCCTCACACCTGCTCCATCTCTCGTCGGACTGCATGCTTGATTTTGTCGAAGGGCCAGACGCCTGTCACACCTGCTCCAGCGCGCCTCGGACTACAGAACTTGCGTCATTTTGGTCAAGGGACAGTTACGTCCGGTACATGGGTTGCGCAACGAATCGAGGTTGCGCAATCCTGTCTGGTTACCGAGAGCGTCGAACCTCGCACGGCGTGTGAAAGATGGGTTGGACTCATTTTACTTGGGTTATTGGCGCAACCCGAGTTGGCAAGAAGGCTGGAAAATTACAAGTTACTGTGCAGTTGACATGGTGATAATTTTAGTACCCTGTACTTTCTGTCAATCATAACATGGTATCAGAGCAAGGTTAGGTCCATCTAGCCCGCCCGCGCTTCCGCCCTAGGCCCTAGCCGCCCTCGTGCCCGTTCCTAACTCCCCCCTCCCCCCCCCTGAGCCATCGCGGCCGTCCTAGCCGGCCCCCTGAGCCGTCACGCCCATCCTAGCCGGCCCCCCCTGAGCCGTCGCGCCCGTTCCTCACCGGCCCTCGCGCCCGTTCCTAGCCGGCCCTTGCGCCCGTTCAAGCAGGCCCTCGCGCCCGTTCCAGCCGACCCTCGCGCCCGTTCTAGCCGCCCCCCCCCCCTCGCGCCCGTCCCGCCGGCCCCTCGAGCCCGTTCCTAGCCGGCCCACGCACCTGTTCTAGCCGGCCCCTCGCGCCCGTTCCTAGCCGGCCCCTCGCGCCCATTCTAGCCGGCCCCTTGCGCCCGTTCCTAGCCGGCCCCATGTGCCCGTTCCTAGCCGGCCCTCGCGCCCGTCCTAGCCGGCCCGTGCGCCCGTTCTAGTCGGCCCTCGCGCCCCTTCTAGCCGGCCCCCTAGCGCTCGTTCCAGCCGGCCCCTTGCGCCCGTTCCAGCCGGCCCTTGCACCCGTTCCGCACCGGCCCCCTAGCGCCCGTTCCAGCCTGCCTCGCGCCCGCTCCAGCCGGCCCCTCGCGCCCGTTCCAGCCGGCCCTTGCGCCCGTTCCTCGCCGGCCCCTAGCGCACGTTCCTGCCGGCCCTCGCTCCCGTTCCAGCTGGCCCCTCGCGCCCGCTCCTAGCTGGCCCTCGCGCCCGTTCCAACCGGCCCTCGCGCCCGTTCCAGCTGGCCCCTCGCGCCCGCTCCTAGCTGGCCCCGCGCGCCCGTTCCAGCCGGCCCTCGCGCCCGTTCCAGCTGGCCCCTCGCGCCGCACCGAACTGCACTACACTGCCCCTCACCACTCGGTACCACACTGCACCGCACCTCACCCCTCGGTACCGCACAGCGCCGCACCGCACAGTACCGCACTGCACCGCGCTGCACCGCACAACACCGCACTGCACTGCTTTGCACCGCACTGCACCGCTTCGCACTGCACTGCACCGCTGTTGCATCGCTCCTGATGGCGGACTCCGTGCTCCGCTTCGACGCAGAGGGTCAGCCGCTCGAGTTTGACACGTGGTTGGTCGACCTCCGCCGTCATCTCACTGGTCAGCGGCAGGATGGCCACTCCTTGGCGGTCCACCTTGACGGCATGCTTCCCTGTCCCGACCCCCCTGCTGCCCTGCCCGCTGACCCCTCGTCCGCTGACCGTGAGTCCGCTGCAGCTGCTGCCCTTGCCCGCTCAGTCTGGTTGTCGCATCACGCCGTAGCACAGCTTGCGATCACTCATGCCCTCCCCCTGTCTCAGCGCCCTCGCTTTCGGTCGGTTACGACTGCGCAGGAGTTCCTAGATGCTGTTGTCAAGCGCTATTCCACCCCGCTCGCCGCCTCTGTAGGTCGCCTGATCCTGCCCATGCTCTTTCCTGACCTTGCGTCTTTCCCCACTGTCGCTGACCTGGCCGCTCACCTACGCACGATAGACGCGACCTGGTGCTCTGCCTCCACTGAGACCCAGCTTAGAGCCTTTCAGCCGCCCCTTTGCTCTACCCTCCACTTGCTTGCCACCCGCCTCCCTGACCGTCTTGCTACTGCCCGCGACCGCTTCCTTAGCATCCACACCGGTGACCTCACCCTCACTGACTTTATCGACACCCTGTCTACCATAGAGACCCGCCAGCGCTCTATCGCCCAGACCAGCGGTACTGTGCCGGTCCCTATCTTTCAGGGTTGTGCCCCCGCTCAGTGCACCTTCTCCGACGGCTCTGCTGCTGTGGCTGAGTCTGCAGCTATAGCGCCGATCCGTTCCGGGAAGGGCCGCCGCCCCAAGGCTGGGCGCGGCGGTGGGGGTGGCGGTGCAGGTGGAGGTGGTGGTGGAGTCGGGTTGCCTAGTGGTAGCGCTGACGAGGGGACCCTGACAGGTGCAGCCGAGCAGCCGCCTTAGCAGCCGCAGGTATCGCAGCCGGACACGCACTAGCCGCAGCAGCAGCCCTCCCACCAGCCGCAGCAGCAGAGGCGGGCGGGTGGTCTCCCACCCGGGTGGCCTGGCGCTGGTGGTGGTGCTAGACGTGGTGGTCATGCGCGTGGTGGGCTGTCGGGTGGCGGTTCGGGTGACGGGCACTGCCAGTACCTACTTCAGACCGGTCCTCGCCGTGGCTTCGTTTGCGCTAAGATTGGTCACACCTTCGTCCGCTGTTTCCGTCGCCTGGACGACCTGTTTCGTCAGCGCTTCGGCCAGTCGCCCGACCTCCCCGACTGGCACAGCTTGCTTCGCCGTAGCATTCAGATTCATGATATGGACATGGATGAGCTTGTTGCTGCCTTACATGTGATGTATGCTGATGACTCTAGTGTGACTGCTTCTTACGACCCCTTTTTGCCTAGTGTAGGTGTGTCTAGTCGTACCTCCCTTGCTGCGTCAGGCGTAAGATCCCCTGCTTTGTTTAGCCTTGGTTCTTCTATCGCTGCTCCGCCTCCGGACGTCACTGCCACGCTCTCCTTCACCTTGGACTCTGGCGCTTCTCAGTGTTTCTTTCGCGACTCCACTATGCTGACGCCGCTTCCTGCTTCTGCTGCAGTTTCCCTTGCCGACCCCTCCTCCGGCCCGGTAGTCGCCCGCAGTTCCACCACCCTTCCCTGTCCGGCGGTTCCTTCGGGCTCTCTTACAGGCCTGCACATCCCCTCGTTCTCCAGGAACCTAGTTGGTGTCGGCTGCCTCCAGGACCTTGGCGTCACCACTACGTTCCCTGGTCACGAGCGGTACGCTGTCTGTACCGAGGCAGCCACTGGTGTTCCCCTCACCACGTTCCCCCGGGACCCGGTGTCTGGACTGTTCACGCTGGACACCGCGACCCCCCCAGTTAGGATGTCCCCTCAGGTGTCTGCATCTACCCAGGTTGCTGCTGCTTGCTCCTGCGGTCAGTCACTCACCCGACACTACTGTGGCACCACCGTTTAGGTCACCCTGCCCTCCCGCGTCTGCGTCACATGTCACAGCACGGTCTAGTCCTAGGTCTCCCGGGGTCGTTCCCCGAGTTGCCCTCCTCCCCAGCACCACCGTGCACGCCCTGTGTCGAGGGCCGGCTCCGTCGTGCCCCTCACTCCTCCTCGTTCCCCCCTACCACCGCACCGCTATAGACCCTGCACATGGAGGTCTGGGGCCCCGCTACTTCCTAGTGCTTGTCGACAACTACACCCGCTACACCACCGTCTTTCCCCTTGAGCGGAAGGCCGATGTGCCTGACGTTCTCATCCCATAGCTTGTCTCTGCGCGTGTCCACCGCGGTCTCCCTGTCTTGCGTCTCCACTCTGACCGTGGCGGCGAGTTTGCCGCCGACGTTCTTGGTCGTTTCAGTCGTACGGAGGGCATCACCCAGATGTTCACCTTGCCGGACTCCCCGCAGCAGAATGGGGTTGCTGAGCGACGCATCGGTTTGGTCATGGAGGTGGCTCGTATCTCCATGATCCATGCCGGTACACCCCATTTTCTGTGGCCGTTCGCCGTTCGCTACGCCGCTCACCAGCTAAACCTGTGGCCGCACCCCCAGCAGCCGCAGGTTTCGCCGACCCTCCTCTGGACCAGGTCTCCTGGTGATGCCTCTGCGTTCCACGTCTGGGGCTGCCTTGCTCACGTTCGTGCCTCAGGCCCGGACAAGCTCACTGCCCGCACCCTCCCTTGTGTCTTCCTCGGTTTCCCCCTAGACTCGTCTGACTGGCACTTCTACCATCCGCAGTCTCACCGGTTCTTTCACTCCCGCGATGTCACCTTTGACGAGTCCATCTCCTTCTACCGCCGCTTCCCCCACCGAGGTCCCCCGGTTACTCCCCCCCTCTTCCTGGTCCCCCCTTCCCAAGTGGCCCCTGGCCCTGCCCCTCCCCCTCCCCGTCCTGCACCGTTTGGTGTGTCCCACGTCACCCCCCTTACGTCGGTTGTCCCGGTCGAGGAGTCTGCTGACTCTGGTGGTCCTGCGGCGCTGTCCTCGCCGCCTGTCCCTCCCTTGTTGTCTCCTCCTCCGCCGCCTCCGCAGCCGCCGTCGCCATCGCTGTCGCAGCTGCCGTCACCGCCGCCGCAACCGTCGTTGCAGCCACTGTTGCCGCAGCCGTCGCAGCAGCAGTTCGTTGACTCTGGGGTTGCTGGCGTTG